GGTTGACTAATCTGCCCTGCCTCGTGGGCGGCGTTCCGCTCTCATATCCCCTCAAGTTCCGCAGTGGATTCTCGAGACCCTGGATCCAGACACCGAAGCGGGGCACGGCGGGAGCCCTTTCCGGCGTGCAAGGCTTCCCGCTCCCCAGCGACGTCTAAGAAACGACGCGGGGCTTTCAGTCAAGTTTGCTGCATGCCTCTTGAGCCGGCGGGCTTCTGATTGGGCGTGGTTTGCGAGTTTGACCGGGAGCTGGGCTGAAGCCTGCCTTCAGCTACAAGCCACATTCTCCGGTTCGGGCTTAATGACCTGATAGTCTTGTCTTGGGCACCGCTCGACTCCACCACACACCGCCATCATGCCGAACGCTCAATTCCAGCAATGAGCTGTCGTGGCCGGCGAGTCAGAGGTTGGCTTATCGGGCGGCGGCCGCGGTTGCGGCTGCGGCTGGTTACGAAACCGTGACAACTCGAGTGAATTCCCAGGCGCTGTATCACAACGTCTTTTCTGGTTCAGCTGGGTGATCACGGAGCAGTAGTTATACATTGAGTAACGATGAAATACGAACTAGGACATTGACAACCCCCTTGGCTCATGGCTGGCCAACATGACATGCGGCCGAGGCTCACAAGAGGAGGCCAGCGACCCATGAATGATCATATTCCTGTCTGCCTTGCCAGCCCGCATTGGTCTACACCATCGCAGCACATCAGTCCGTATCTGTACCTCGCGAGGTGGAGCTTCTACCTGGCCCAACCACCCATATCCCGTCGGGCCATGACACCAACCACAAGTTGCAGGACAAGGAGCTGAGGCTGAATTCCTTTGGCGTACACCGGCTTCGAGTCTCATCGGCGTTGGGAGGCACCATGGCCAGCCGATTCTCCCGCAGGGCATGCTCGGTTCGGGAACTTTCATCTCACCCCGGGTAGGTGTGGTTGCCGTCGCGCAGGCTGCCTGTCTCTGACTCCCTTTTTTTCTCCGACAACCTCTCCTCGTATTCGTCTCTCTCCTTCTATAACCCCTCGCTCCCTGCCCTTCTCCTCGTTCCCGCCCTCTTCCTGTTGACATCTACCGGGAACAACTTAGGATCCGTCAACATGGGACAACTCACTCAACTAGGAGTTCTTGCTTGCTTGTACCTGGGCGCGGAGTCCAAGGCACTGAGATGGCAGGACGATACCCCTAGCTGGGTCCCGCCCAGGCAGACCATTGCCGCGATGAACATGGAGGAGCTCGGCTTCAGTCCCAGCCCTACGGCGGCGCCCGACCCGGCCAATGTCGAACTGAAGCTGGCTAAGCGCGTGAGAGGCGACGACACCTGCGGTTATATCTCTGGTATATCGAGTTAGTTGCGCCTCGACGACGTAGTTGAGGGCTAGTGCTAACCTGGGCACAGCCGACTCCATTTACTGCGATGTGGGAACTTGCGTCATCAACAGCTTCCTTTCTGTGGCTGGGTGCTGCGCGTCTACGGCGGTGACAGACTGCAAGATCGCCAGCAGCTGCTTGCCGTCATCGTCCTCGAGGCTCTACACCAGCGGTGATACGCTCATGCTGTACTGGTACGTCACGCGTGTCCATTGCGCCCGCATAAGGGCTCTGTATCTCACAGATCAACAGCTCCTCTTCCGCAAGGCCCGAGTGCCTCACATACGTCTACTCCGGCTCGCTCTTCAACCGTTACACCCTATTTGGATGCGCCGCCAGCGAACAGAGGATCGTCGTCTACGCCAACCCCACAGATACCTCCCTCACGGATGAGGGGACAACGTCGGACGCAGTAACAAGGACAGCTCCCTTTGCAACCGACGCCACCGACACCGAGACCGACGCCGGCACCTTGTCGCGGACATCTCCGACAGCCACATCGAGGGGTTCCAGCGTCAGCGGCGGTGGCAGCAGCGGCGGCGACGGCGGCGGATCGTCTACCCCGGTAGGCGCCATCGTCGGCGGCGTGGTCGGAGGTGTGGCGGCCATCGCCCTCGTCGTTCTCGGCATTATCTTCCTTCTCCGCAAGAAGAAGAAGGACGCAGCCGCCGGCAACGCCGGCAACCAGCCCGCCCCCGTCGTCTATAACGGCCCCCCGCCGCCTCAGCAGGGGCCCCCGCAGATGTATCAGCAGCCGTCGCCGGGAGGCTACGGTCCTCCCCCTCCGCAGGCAGGAACCTACCCGCAGGGCTTCGCTCCCGTGGACAACAGGCAGAGCATGCTCAAACAGCCGTACGACACCACTACGGGCTCGTACGAGCAGACCGGTGTCAGCCCGCCCTCGAGCCCGCCGCCTATGAGCCACTCGCCGACAGACCAGTCGGTAGCACCACAGTACGCTCCGACCCAGAGCGGCGTCAGCCCGGCGTATTCTCCCCAGCAGCAGCAGCAGCAGCAGCAGCAGCAGCAGCAAGGGGGCTACTACAACGCGCCTCCGCCACCTGCACAGGCACAGCAGGTGCCACCACAGCAGCATTACCAGCAGCCCGGGTTCTCGTCCGAGCTGCCTGCTCACAGGGGTGATGGCGAGCTGCGGGAGCTGGCTTAGATGGTGGAGGATTGTTGGAAGAGGACGAATAGCGATGATGGATTTAATTCGCCAAGGTCATGATGTTTGCAAAACCCACTCAGCCCCATTCACGGGAAAACGGGTTTGCACAAAGACGATGAAAGGACGGTATAGGGGAGAAATGGGGGGTTGTCGTTACGTATATATGCAATACCCTGACGTCTTTACACGGCCTGGACGGGACTTACGACCCTCTATAATGCACAAATGAATTTTGTTTTCGCCACCAAGCATGCATCGTGGATACGTCGTCATGCGCCTTTGATGCCAAGGAAGGCTTCACAACCGGCTGTGTCTGTCACGGCGCCACGGCGTGTTTGGGTTGTCCTGCCGTCCCGGCACCAGATGGTCCACGGCCAGTGTGTTGAGAAAGCCCGGGTGGACCTGGTCGAGGCTCGTGACGCCGCACATCTTCATCGTCGTTTCCAGCTCGTCTCGCAGAACTACACAAGGCCAGTCAGTCAGTCAGTCAAATTCCGGCCCGCCCGGGTTTTTCTCCTCGAAACACTGGAGACGCAAAAAAGAAAAAAAAGAAAAAAAAAGAAAGAAAGAAAGAAAGAGGTGAGAGACGGCCCAACTCACTCTCGATGTACCTCTCCACGCCCTCGGCGCCGTAGTTGAGGCTATACAGCAGACCCCTACCCAGGCCGACCGCCTTGGCGCCCAGGCACAGCGCCTTGAAGATGTCGGTCCCGCGGGAGACGCCGCCGTCGACGTAGACCTCGACCCTGTCGAAGACGTGCGGGCAGTTCCTCTGCAGCTCCAGCAGGACCATGACGGTCGCCGGAGACGTGTCGAGGCTGCGCCCGCCGTGGTTCGAGAGCACGATGGCCTCCACGCCCGCCCCGGCGGCGCGCTCGGCGTCCATCCACGTCTGCACGCCCTTGAGGACGATAGGCAGGCCAGGTACTGTGCGCCGCAGCCAGGCGATGTCGGACCAGTTCACCGACGCGTCGATGTAGCTGCCCATGATCCGGCCGAGGGCGCCGCCCTTGGCGTCGTTTCCGGCGCGGGCGCCGGAGATGGGCGAGGAGAGGGACTCGTCGGAGCGCACGCGCTCGTCGGCCTCGCGCTTCCCCGGGATCGGGGCGTCGACGGTGAGGAACAGGGCCTTGACGCCCTGAGCCTGGGCGGAGCGGATAAGGCGCTCCGACTTGGCGCGGTCCTTATCGACGTACAGCTGGAAGAAGACGGGCGCGTCGTAGGGCGCCGCCGCTGCCGCCGCACCCTTGGCCGCGGGAAGGGAGGGGTGCGCGGCCCGCGCTGCGAAGATCTCGTCGAGCGGGAAGGACGCTGACACGGACACGCACTGGGGGATACCGGCGGACTTGCAGGCGCGGCCGAGCTCCTTCTCGCCGTCCGGGTGGACGAGGCGGGCCATGGCGGTCGGCGAACAGAAGATCGGGGCGCGCACGGGGGTGCCGAGGATAGCGGTGGATGTGGAGACGGAGGCGACGTCGACGAGGACGCGCGGGCGGAGGCCGATGAGGGCGTAGGAGGAGGCGTTACGGGCCTTGGTGTGCAGGTCCGTCGCGGCAGAGGAGATGAAGGCCCAGGCCTTGGGGGGGAGGGAGACGGACGCCACCTGCTCGAAGTCGTGGGCGGAGATGAGGGTGTCGAGGGGAGGTTTGGAGGGGAGGGCAGTGGGCCCGACGGGTTGGTCTCGGCTCATTGTGGGTTGGGGCTCTGGTTGCTCTTGCTTCTGCTGCTGCTGCTGTTGGAAGCTATGCTGTCGAGGCTTCGGCAGCGCGGCGCCGGGGGCCAGGACGCCCTTGTGGCGGTCCGCGGGGAGCGTCGACCTGACGAGGTTGGGGCCGTGGACCTCGGAGTATACGTCGGTGGCGTCCTTACCGGCGCACTGCAGGATCACGGCGATGCCGCCGGGGTGCTCGCGGACGAAGTCGGAGAAGTCGTAGACGTGGGCGTCGATAACGAGCCAGAGGTCGCCAAGGCGGTTGTGTTTTGATACCTCGGCGGGCGTGAGTTTCGGGGGCATAGTTCCGGTCGCCAGAGTGTTTACCAATTGCTCGCTCGATAAGCACACTCGACCCGGCATGGATGTTGTGGAGAGGCGGGGGCGGAGCGCGCAGTCGGAGTGAGAGCTTGAGTGGCCATCTTTGTAGGTTGCCACGGGCCGGACGCTAAGGCTCGAGTTCGGGGGGTACTGCACCGAGAGGGTCTCTCGGTAGTGGGGTTGCCGCCTTTGGTGCGGCGGGCACTTATTTAGTGCTGGAAGGCTAGTGGGGGGCTGAGGGGTTCCCCAGGGAGGGTCCCCCAGAAAGGGTTTCACTCGCTAAAGCATGCACGGAATACGACCATGTCATCACTGTAAATCACCGGGGTAGCATCGGCAAGTACCTAGCTGGCTGTCGATTTTATTTTATTTTCCTTGAAAGGTTTTAGGTAGGTTTTTCTACACTACTACCCCTCCTCCACCCTCGTCTCACCCCGCCAAAGCTTTGCCGATAAGAGTTTTGGCCCTCTCGCTGTGGTCCATCTTCAGCGCCAGTGCGTGGCCGGGCTCGCTCATCTTGGCCCACGTCTTGCGCAGAATGCCGATGATTTTGTCTTCATCGATCTCGTCCTTGCTCTCAAAGGCGTCGAACTGGTCGTCGAGGAAGACGAGGCACGCCACGTCCTCGAGCACCTGCGTCTCCTCGTCGGCGCTCAGGTTCTCCTTGCGGATGAGGGCGGCCACGCGATCGACGTCCTCCTGAGGCAGGGCTGGGTGGATCTCGGGCGACGATGAGATGAGCTCAGCCACCTGCGCCGCGGCCTGGGACTTGAGCTTCGCCCGCCAGGTGAGGTATCCCGGCCGGGTCATGGGATACGTGTTGCGGGGGGTCTCCCATCTGTTGAGTAAATTCGCCAGTGAGTCAGACCTGTCATGCTACCGGCATTGTACCTAACCTATCCCGGAGGGGGGAGGTCATGCATCTTGCTCATCGTCTCATATGCTTCAAGAGTTGCAGATAGTGCTACTTTTTTTTATAGATTGAAACAAGAAAAACGAAGAAGAAGAAGAAAAAGGTGAAATGCTTATGCAACATCAAAGAAAATGGAAAGGGTGTTTATGTTACCTCCTGAAGTGCTGGGCGCGGCAAGCCAGCTGTAAGACGGGAGACGCTGAGGGACATCGCACAGCCAACCAGCGGGTCATCTTCTGGGCATAGTCGAGTTCAAAAGGGACAGACTCGACACCCGACGGCCTGGGGTCTTGCCTGTGGGCTTCGTCAATCAGCTCGAGGGCCTTTTGGTAATTGGCCGGCAGCTTGGGCAGTGAGGGCGACGTTGCCATTGTTACGTGAGTGAGGGTGTAGTAGTAGTAGTAGTAGTAGTAGTAGTAGTAGTAGTAGTAGTAGTAGTAGTAGTAGTAGTAGTAGTAGTAGTAGTAGTAGTAGTGTAGGTACTGCAATCGGCCGTGTGTGTTGTGTTGGGGTGTCACGGGTTGGAAGGGGTGGTAACTAAAAAAGAAGAGGTTGCCGCTGTTTCAGGCTTCCGACAAGTTTCTTGGTCCTTTCCATGACGAGAAGCTCGGCTATTCATAATCGCTGCTCTATAGCCGCCGCTGCTGCCACCCACAACGAAGCCCCTGAACGACACTCATGAGTAAGCAGGGAGGACTTGATTGGCTGCACCCACTACGGTGCATACTATTAGTAGAGCCTCATCCCGATCCCCGGACCTTGTCGTTGACATCGACTTGATAATCCCACACGTCCTTACATACCTACCTTACCTGTACATAGTAAACCCATTTATCTGCTACGCTCCCCTCCCCGCACCGGCCCGTCGACTGTAGCTCCTGCGGCTGCTTCTTCCTTGCAAACCCTACGTCACACTTGGCACGTTGCAAGATGACGGACAAGCTTCGGCATGTTCTCAGTAAATCATTCCAACGGGGTCCCCGGTAGACTTCGTCCCATTATGAGTCTGCGCCAACGCAGATCGCACAGCCGCCCGGTCTCGCCAGATCTGGAATCAGTCATACTTTGGCCGGACCCCGAAGTCTTGTTTCGTCCCTTCGTCCCATGTTCAGAATAGCTGCGTACGAATATCTGTACCTACACAACCTACACCACCTTACACATGCATACCAACTGACATGCGGTCGACCTGTCTGTGTTCTTGGCAATTCAGCCGTTTTGGAGAGGTTGGACATGAACCGTATTGGTAGCATTTCCCGCGACGCGTAGCTGTGGCCAACTTCGACCCTACTTTGATCTCTCACTCTTGCTACTTTCAACCCCGCGGCCGACAATTTTTCCATGCATTGAACATGGTGGACACATCCTTTGCCACCTTTATTTATCCTTTTGGTGAAGGGATTCGTGCTCTGAGAGAGTGTCGCCCACACTCACTCTTACTTATATCATCCGCAACAACGTCTCAACTCCCTCTCCCCCTCCCACCTACACCTCAGCCCCGTGTGGCAGTTCACTCTTTTTCTCACTAATCCCACATCGCCGTCACTAGTTTGGCAGTTTCCTTCGTTCAGCGTCTCACCCGATGCAACTCCCTTGAAACCTGCCCCACCTATGCTTGCATCTCAAGCCGACAACAATCGAAAACAAAACATATCTCTCGGTCCACACCCGTTGCGCCATCTCTTTAGGAAAAGGGCGCTTCTTGCTTGACCGGCCACTATTTCCGCAATTAAACGAATAGGATAATCAAGGAGGACCCACCGACCGGTAGCCTGTCTACTTCATCACGAAAAGCCTCCGCCGGAACAGAACAGGCCTTCCTCGAACGTCTTGCCAAACGAATGATCTTCATCTTCTACCACCAACCGTTATTTGGCTGGCTGAGATTTATGATAAAATACTAATCAGTACCGGTGTTGACCAGGAAGTAGTCACAACTTGGTGTTCAACTTGCAGACCACGCGCCTTCCCTTTTACACAATTGACTCATAAACCGCAAGACAAAGCCCCATTTTCCCAACTATACCCTACACCTACACAGCCATGAAGAACTCAAAGAAGAGCAATCCAAAGCATATCCGGGACTCCGCAATGGAGGTTGATGACGGAAAGTCGTCCAGCACGGCAGTGACCACTGACTCGGACGACATCGCCAGCGACACTATGACACTCGTCGACTTATTTTCTGACCTAGCGGTCGGCGACCTCTTTGAAGCCAACAATGACAATCTCACTTCGGCTGATTCTTCCGCTACACCAAGCTCAGAAGTCAGCACCGACAACCAGTCCACTCCCAGCGCGGATGCCAGTGGCAGTGAAATCGACCTCAAGACCTCCGGAAAGAAGAACAGGAGCTGCCAGAACCAGAAGAAGGGCAAAGTTTCGGACACCGAGAGCGATTCTGGCATTTCAGCGGACACGTCTTCCGCAGAAGCCATCTCAAGCACCGGCGAGTTTACGTCATCTCAAGCCAAAAGCGCGGAGGTAGCCATGGCCCAATCAATCACATCTGGGGGAGCCACCTCGAATGAGTCCAGCACTTCCGGCGTCGCGTCCCCCGAGAGCGGAGGCGCCTCATCCAGTACGCAGTCGCCCAACAAAGGCCATTGGACGCCGTCAGAAGACGCTCTCATCATCAGTATGAAGGAGGGCGGCGAGGGCTGGGCCTCCATTGGCAAGGCCATCAACCGGGGCAAGAATGAGGTCAAGAGGCGATGGCACGTGGCCAAGGCCAACGCCGCGAACTCCGAATCCGGAGGCGACGCGCTGACTGAGACGGAGTCTGAAGGGGAGAACGGCCAGACAGCATCCACGGCCGACAGCAAGACCGATCAGAGCCATGGTGATAACACCGACAAACGCCAGGAGGGGCACAAGGCCGACAACAAGCTCATATCCAGAGCCGAGCGAAAGGCCGAGCGCAAAGCTGAGCAGCGGAAGAACAAGGACAACGCGACGTCGGATGACAAGACCAAGGAACCCAAGAAGTCTCACCCCAGGCCCAAGCAACCCAAGCGGGAGGCCGAGGAGCAGCAGCCCTCAAAGGCTTCAGAAGCTCCCAGCACTCCGAAACCCTCCTCATCCAACTCCGTCGGCGACTCCCCCAGCTCGTCCCTCCGCAGCCGGCTCGCCCTCCTCCGCGACACAACCTCGGCATCCTCCTCCACATCCTCCGCTACTAGCAATGATGGTGACGGCGGCGACGATGCCAGCGACTCACCCGCCAAGTGCTACCACCGCGAGCTCGCCCGTCAGGAGCGCTACATCCGCCGTCACGTCAACCCGGCCCTCTACCCCCCTCTTCCCTACCCGCTGATGCCCCCTCCAACCGCCTTCCGCCCGCCCAGCCACGCTGACAAGCGACAGCGACGCGACGATAAGATCCTGGCGTCCCTGGTATCTCGACGGGAGGCGACAAAGTGGCTCGAGATGCAGGCCAACTTCTACAACGTCACAGGCCGGATGGTGCCGCTGCATATGATCAAGGCGCGATGCGAGGCCGAGGAGGTCCGTAGCAAGGTGGTGGGCGTGCGGGACTGGGCCACCTCGGTGGCGGACGGTGACGAGCTCCTGGATCCGAACGAGGGTGCCGACGTCCCCGAGGACGCCCTTGTCGAATACGACGAGGAGTGAGGGCAAACGTCCTCTATTCAATTACATAATGAGAGCCCTCTAGCGGGGGTTAATGATGAACGACGGCAAAGGATAGGATGCCTTGGGAGGTCTGGTGAGGGATGGGATAAGCCCCAATCACCATAGTATATAATGGCTACGACTGGGATCTGATATTCACTTTTCACTGCCTACGGAAGGGGGGAGGGGGATGATGAATGGGCTTGACAGACAAGCAAACGAAAAAATGCATTGGAATGGGCGGTCAGGGTATAATAACGAAACACAGAAAGGATAGGTGGCGGGCGGGTATTTGCGCCGATTTGTTTTGCTCTGGGATACTCCGGTCGGTTGATGGCCGCGCTTTCGGGATCCTCTAACTCAGCTACCTAGCCAGCGTTGCTTATTATTTTTTTTTTCTTTTGCCCCCGTCTTTTTCTCTCTCTTTCTTCTCTATTTTTACTCTCAAGTTTCAATTTTCTCTATCGAGAGAATATAGATGAAAAGCCGATATGGATCTTGGGTCTTGGGGGTTGGCGCCAAAGGGGAGGAGGCTAACACGTCCTTTTTACATAGGTAGTTGACAAGCGACTGGGGCCATCAGGCATTTGTTAACTTCTCCATCTCCTCCCCCCATTTCTCTCTCTCTCTCTCTCTCTCTCTATCTGTCTCTCTTTCTCTACCTCTGTGATGTGTAGGTGATATTTTCCTCCATCTATATACGGCCTATAGATCTTGGGGGGGGAAACAAAAAAGACGCGAGTGAAATAAATGGCTTGATTTTCCAACTCCGACAAGGCCAAAAATAGTACAGTCCACCACCCACCGCGCGTCACGGGGTATCAATGGAACAAACAATTACAGCATACTGCCACCCACCTGTGGCGTGCCTAGAAACGCCCCTTTTGAGGCAAACCTCGTGCCCGGCGTATCCAAAATATAATTACACGCAAGAGCCTTGAGAACTGACAAGGCTCGCTTTCCTATTATGTGCCGCCCGATCCTACCAGATGGACCTGAAGGCGTTATGCGGAACGGTAGAACCGTATTTGACGTATCGTCCCAGTCCGTTAAAACGACACTGCTGCTGATGGCATTCAACATGGTAAACGGGAATCCATACTTCAGGGTCTCAGGTAAAGACCTAGAGTCGATTTCCAGAGAGCCAGTAAACGCAAAGTGGCACTCTCGACCTCGGATTGGCCGTCCCCCTTCGCTGCCCTCCGAGGGATTGACAAAGGTGCTGGCGTCCAATAGTCTCGTCTTCCCGCCTTTTCTCGTTTCAGTCTGTTGGCTGAAGCGTGAAGGATGCGCCTTCTCTGGAGGCATAAAGTGAACTTATCGGCCGATCCGTTATTCAGATAGGATTCTCCATGCCGGGCGCCATCGTTGTCCCTGGCGGCGCGGCCGGACTTGGACTGGACCCTTTCGTCAAGGTGTTATTGCTGGATCCCAATCCTCGCTTCATCATTTTCCCCAGGACGGTGACCAGTTCGCAGGCATCAGCAAACATGTCGTCATCCATTCCCTCTGACGCTCCGTATACTTCGGAAATGGTATCCTTGGCCAGCTTGCGACTCCCGTCGGTATCGTGTACGCAGTCGTAGAGGAAGGCGGCGTACTCCGTCTTGACCGATAACCGCAATGAGTGGGAACCCCAGAGATGCTGATCGGCCAGAGCAATGGCTTCCTTGAAATACTTTTGGGCATCGGGAAGGTAGTCCCTCGGCGGTTCGAGAAAGGCGGCAGGGAAGTCCGAATTGCTTTGCGGAGGGAATCCGGGCGGTGGGTTCACCGGTCCGCCCTCAAGGGCGTGCGTCGGCTGTATCGACCCCTGAGATGCGTTCCATTCCTCCCTTGCGATTCCCTTGCCCTTGTCAAGCCTCGGGGGCGTGAGGCCGGCCATGGTGTCGGGGGTCGCAATGCCCATGGTGGACACGGCAGGTTTGTTATGAAACAGGACGAAGATGTGGTAAAACGATGCCCGCAGCTTGTATGCCAACACACGGAGCTCCGTATGGTTTCCGACCATGGGAATAACATACTGCTGGAGCATGACCAGACCTTCCCTCGAAAGCCAGATGATGTGAAGGATGAGATCGGCAGACTGGGGCGTTCGGGCCACGTCGGGACGACGCTGTTTCTTCGCTGTGACGAGCTTCTCTGCTAGGCTGAGCGAGAGGCCGAGGATCTTGTAGAGCATCGAGGACAACAAGGGGTTGTCATTTTCCACAGTCTTTGCCCATTTGCCGAGGAACTTTTGGTCTACCTCGGAGGAAGCCATTGGGGCCTGTATCGCGGGTGAGATAGCGGGGACTAAAGCTCTGATCCCGGGGATGTGTCCGGATGGGGGACCGATCTCAGCCGTCTCTGGATTGAGCGTCTGATTTGTAGCAAGAAATTGGTCCCTTTTGGGGGAGAGAGTTGGCGGACTTCTTTTCCCCCAACGTCAAGGCCTATGAGGGAGAATATGAACCCGCAAATGAAAAGCGATGAAATCCAAGAGGCCGGACGCGAGCTAATTGACAGGGTAGTAAGTGCAGATGAGCCGGGAAACGAGACAAGAGTCAGGGCTGCTCAGTGACGGTCGGTTCAAGAGCGCTTAGTGTTGCTACGGTAAAACTGATTATGAGACTTGGTTAAGACCGCGACGAGTAAGCAAATAGTGGCGTGGACATCCGAGGTCGACCACTCACCAGTATAATACATTAAGTGAGTACTATGTGAGGGAGTAGGGTGGACGTGGTGAGTGAAAGGCTGCGCGGCGCAGATGGCGACTAGCAAAGAGACAATGTCGACTGAGACTCAACCGGGAAGACGAGGGTGATATGATTTGTTTTCACAAATGGCATGGCGACGTTGCTTGAGGGTTAGGTCAACTGTTGTCGAGTGAGTGGCCCTGTGGAAGTTGACGTAGCTGAAGTCGTCAATTCGGGCTGCGAGGGCGATCCCTGGAATGATGAACGAGCGTCGAAGGGTATGCTGGTGAAGGCGGTGAGGGCGGGAACCAGACGTCAAACGAGGTCTCTTCTGGGGACGGGAGCAAATGCAATGGGTTGAGATGGGATTCGGCGACCAGTAGCAGTAGCGGCCGTCAGATTGAGGTGGGACGAAGCGTTGTGGTAGAAGTTTGGCTATGAGGGCATCGCGACCACAGGCGAGAACGAGTCGAGTGACAGCGACGTCGCGGGCGGGTTCTGAGATGGGTTCGGGCGATGTAATGTAATGTAAGGCAATGTAGGTAGCTGCAGGTTATATGTGCCCTAAAGGAGAGTTGCGGACACGGACGCAGGAGGACTGGGGCGTGCGGTCGTATCGTGCATGGAGTGTGGGCCTTTGAGAGTGAGAGCAGCGGCGCGGTGCGGTGCGGTCGCGACGTGGAGCCTGGATGCCGTGGCCGGCTGGGAATAGAAGTGTGTTTGTTGGGTGTCCAGAAAATGAGATGGGATGAAGCAGAAGCAGGAGCAGCACCGGCGGCCGTGGCGGATGTCGTACAGAGATGAGAAGTAACGAATGACGATGGATGTTGAAGGCTGGGTGAAGGGGGGGGTGCAAGATGGCTGCAAGATGAGTTGTCAAACTCTGGGGAGAACGAGCGCCGAGCGCGCACCGTGTCAATGGGAGAGAGTAAGCGATGGGTGAGAGGCTTGGGTCAGTGGCATGGGCTGGAAGCGAGCGACGGATGCCAAATTGGGCGGGAAAAACGGAGGAAGCGAAAGAAGAGACCCAGATACCAATTCAGATTACGGATACAGTAGCCAGTGACATCAACCTCGAAAGGCTGGGGCCGGGGTTGGGACAGGCAGGCGGAAAGACAGCCCAGGAAGGAAATGGGTAGATGAAAAAGGAAACCAAGTACGGAGTACCTTGGGACTCGGGGCCGGGTAAGGGTAGATAGTAGAGACCAACGGGTCAAGGGACAGATGACATAAGAAGTATGTATACATACCTAGTCAAAAAATCCAATAGAAAAGCTTGCCCAAAGCTGGAGCTGGAGCTGGAGCTGGAGCCGGTCCTGGAGCTTGGACGGCCCGCTTCTGAACCACCCCACCCCCAGCCAGCATGGCAGGAAAACAGGCACGACAACGCGCCCACCACCAAGGTGGGAGTGAAGACGGAATTTCTCCCTTGTCTCTCTGCTCAGCTGTCTCCACTAGCTTCTCGCTTTCCATTCTTTGGCGGCGTTATCCCTTTTCCAGGCCTCTGCCCGATCAAACGGAAGCCGTGGAACCATCGTCTCAATTACCCATCACTTTGACTGAACAGCCGCCCGCACAATCAGTCGTCTGGCTGCTTTGCCGCTGCTCGCCGTCCCATCTTTACACTACACACAACCACTCTACGGCCCCCTCCGTGTCTTTCGTCTGATCCGATCCCCGGGATGTCTTCTGAGCAGAGTTGACGCCGAGACAAAATAGCGTGGGCGCCCTGGTCTTGACGTGCGGGACCACGTCCAAGACAAGCCAACTACCGACCGGCCACTCTTCCAAGGGTCTAGTCTACGGGATTCCTACTATCGTTTAAAGACCGACAAGCGTCCGCCTCGAGTCGCCAAAGTACAAGCGGCGACTAGCTGTCGAGCTGCCTGAGCCTCATGTCCAAGAGGCGCATCTACCTCTGCCACACCCATGACAACACTCTGAGACGCCAGATATGCCGTCTCCCCCTGATGCGCACAAATTCTGCTGGCTTGCTTGCTTGCTTGCTTTTTCTCTCTCCCTCTTCAGACGTGTCTCTCGGGTCCGTTTGAAGGTCGTCATGCGCCCACATAGACTGACGCACTGCACTTCCGCGACCTGCCTCCGATGAGTTGATACCGGTCCATTGCTCCCCAGGAAAACCCACCGTTAGCCGTTCGCGGGCTGTTTAGGAGCATTGGCCTACATGGTACATCATCTAAGAAACGTAAGGAGCCTGGAAACGCAAAACGTGGCCGATTGTCGACTGTCGAGTATCGCTCCCGTCATCCCCGAACAGCAACGGGGAGAGCCCGTGGGGCCTTTGCCCCGGTCCGTCTAGGGGTTTCAGACCACCCAGCTCACCTTCCAAAACCAGCCACTGCTTCAACAGCGTGGTGTATTCGCCGATACGGGTTGCACAATTCCTCTTGTACGAGTGGAAATGACACAAGTTGTCCGCCGTGGATCAAGTTGTGCTCGTCAGTGTTCCCATCAAGAGTAATACGCGATACGTACCGTCAGATGGCCCCTCTGTTTCGTGGCGACCGGGGATGCACTAGCCCTTATCCAATCTAGCCTCGAACATCCTCTGATCTGGGCCAACCGGATGCCGCGCGCCTTCTCAAAGCAGGGAAAACGTCCCTTTGCCTTCAACTCAACTCTCTGATCTGATCCCAGCCTTTTTTTTTTCTTGCTTCGCGGCCCCGGACCCCTCGAGTCCTAATAGTTTTGGTCGCCGTCGCCATCGCCATCGCCAGCCTCTTGTGCGGCCTCTCGGGCTACTGGAAGCTCAATGGTGCCAGCGCACCCCACGAAAACGCCTCGCTGCGCCTTGCGGTTACGTGGGCTTTAACAGGTTCCAGTTCTCCCAGGACCTACCCACGCCGGTACGCCACACCGGCGCACCAGTGCCCAACAAAGCACTCCTCAAGTAAGGATCAGCAGGGCTCACCTGCCTCAACTGGCCATCATCGTGTGAGAAAGTAAAGCGTCTCGGGGCTGTCGTTCACTTTGCGACCCAGACCAGCATACGGCCAATAACAAATCTCGCGCTTGGCCGTCATGTTTGCGGCCATCCCCCCCCCCCCCTTCTCAACCCAGGCTGTTGATTCTTCACTGGATGGCGGTCCTCGCCGCAGGAATTCCGGCAACCTTTGGTAATCCGGACACCCGGGCGCGACCTGACGTCGGCGGGAGTGGGCAGTGGCCACAAACAGGTCGTAGCAAAACTGGCGGTGAAGAACTAGTAGTAACCGGATGCCTGCGGCTCTCGTCTCTTCTGCCATCATACCTACGACTGCACGAGCGGCTTCTTGCCTCGTTATGGGCCCGCTCCGCCTGACTTGCTCCCAATTGCATGCTGGCTGAAGAAAAGCAGGCAAGATACTAAAGCATGGCTGGTGTAGTGGGCTGGACTACTTCCGGGGTCTGGCTGAAACCCGGCCTGCTTTGAGGCTAACGGCCAGCATACATGTGCCCATGTGCGTGCCTAGATGCTCCCCTTGGCATGTGCTGTCGACGCAGGCGAGGGAGGCCGTCTTGCCTTGCCGCCAGCCGGAACCATGCACCCTGCCACTGTCCTGTGCTATCGCTACCTCCGTCGTCTGCCCTGGACTCGCTGCCGGCGTGGACGACCTCCAGTCGTTGCACGCACGGCATGATTGTGATGCGGCACTGCAGCCCTATCTGTCACCATCATGCCTCGATTCAAAGGGAGAGCCCACGTCTTGCGGCCCGGGTTAACTTGCCTCATGGCTGCCTGAGCCCTCCCAAGATAGACATGCTGTTGTTGGGCAACTGTCGTCAGTACGTGGACGCGCTCATAAGCCAGTGCAACACACCAACGCCAGCTGTCAGTCGGCCCTCTTCGTGATCAGCATCCGAAGCGAGCTGCTCTACTAGGCATAGTTATACCTCCGAGTCGAGGCAGTTTGTCCGATTACCCCCCCCCCCCCCCCACGCATCGTTCCTGGTTTCGTGGCCACCGAGGTCACCGTTTGCCCTCCCCGGAACGGGATGTTGCAGCTTCCGAGGCCGCGCCGAGATCGCAAGATCTCGCTGCCTCGGTATGGGATGCGTCTCATTGGGTTCTTATCTTATGTGTACCTGGCTAAGGCTTGACGTGCTGCAAGGAGGAGGAAGGATGGCTTCCCACAGCTCCCCAAACGGAGCTGTCAGAAGGATCGAGGTGACGCCGTAGACCCTTCTCCCCGGTTTGGTGCCTGACAGGAACAAACGGGCATAGCATGATTGCCCGAGCGACGAAGCTACAAATAGGACCCCCGGAGTCAACGTCTCCATGTCCGGTTGCTGTTCGATGTCTGAAAAGCTCCTGTTGAGCCAGCATTGCCTACATTCGTTTCCCATATATCGGCCTCACGAAGGTTTGATAATATCGCCGTGTCTCCGGCTCCATTTGCAGATCACGTACACAGTCTCTCGACTAAGCCATCAGCCGTCTCTTTCAAAGGCGTCAGTGGCCCGCACGCAGCTCTCCTCGTCAACGAGACGGTCCTGACTTCTCACCGGCCACACGGCCGTCTGGCTAGCAACACCTGGATACAGGCTCTTAAACGTCTTGTTTTCTTTCTTATTTCGTCTTCTTTCTTTTTTCGTCGGCACTCAAAACACACGCTCCTTCAACGCATTCGGAAGAAGAAGAAGAAAAGGAAGACAAGCACGCATCTTATCCAAACCGTCGACGCACAAAGGCCCCCCCCCCCGGGAAGCCAGGTTACAAACATGTGCCAGTACTACGCCCACGCCTTCACCTGCAAGCACCTCTCCTTCACCTTTGCCCGCTTCTGCCAGCCCGCCAGCCTCATCCAGAAGCCGTGCGCCAAGCGGCAGGTCTGGCAGACCATCAGCCTCGACGACGCCTGCGAGGACTGCTTGATGTGGTTTCCGGACAGGTACCCGTGTCCGAGGATGCGCTACAAATGATTTTGGAAGCGAGGGTGGCAATAGGATGTTACGGCATAGTATGTGAGCATGGGGGATCTTTTTATGGCAACTCCGAGAGCTCTGGAAGCTCTCAAGTTTCAATGTTCTTACCCGGGACTCTTTGTTTTTCTTTCTTCTTTTTTTCTGGCGTCACGAGAACATGATGGAATTGGCACAAAATGAAAAGGGAGCTAGGAATGGTCGAAGAGGATGCCTCATTGGATGGAGGACTGGTTCGGTATGGGACGCCGTCCGCAAAGGGGGGACGGGTTGTTGTGAGCTCTGAGGAAGCTCGCGAGCCCTCTCGGGGGGAAGAGGCCGAGGAACACTTGCCGCTGGAGGTGGTATAGTATAGTCATGCCACCAAACGGACACTGGCCAACGGAGCGGCAGGCCGGAATAAAGATTGCTCCCCTACCGACAGTTTTCCAAATGCCGTACCGGCGGGCCGGTCCTTGTATTGTACTGCAACGCAACCCCATTAGTCTGCGATGTGTCTCTAGACTCCAGACCAGTAGAGCTTCAAAGGAAACCCTGAAGCAAGCGTGCCGACACTCGGCCACGCCCAACCGTGTTTCCCTCGCCTGGGCGGCCTGCTCGTCGTTGAGAACGACAGTCCACGGTCCTTAGCGGAGGACACCTTCTCGACCTGGGCACCCGCTACAGAGGTCTTCGAAGCTGACGGTCGGTCTATTTTGTGAGCGTGACCCCCTTACTCTGTGACGGCCCTCCGGGAATCCCATCGTACAACGTCGTGCCCCTGAAGAGCAACCAGCGTAGCTGTTATCTCCAGCCGCAATGGCACGTACGCGGAAAGGACAAGAGAGAACCAGTAACCCCAGAGCCGGTGACACTCTCCATCCCAGCGTCTTATGCGCCAAGGAGGCCGGCAGTACATTGCTTGAAAATCCCTGTTTGACGTGGTCGTCGCGAGTGACGTCCTCTTGCGGCCCCGATGTGGGCCCGGGTGGCAAGGCGTGGAGAGCCGATATGGACGGCGGGCAGCCGAGTGGTCCAACTCTCTCTATGAACAAGTTAGGGAACAGCAGGAGCCCAGCCAGCTGCAGACCAGGAGCACCGGCAACTGTATGTATGGGTCATAGGATGTCGCAGCAAAGCTGATTCTGCACAAGACAGATCAGGCTTCTAGAGAGTACGGATACCTCATCGACACCGAGTTAAGTAGATCCGTCTTCGAGGTCGGAGTACCAACTCCCTAGAAACGTGACCCATTAGCTGCCAAACAGAACCGCTTTTGTTCGCATTAGACCTCACTGGGAGACTAGATAGGGGCATCGAACAAGCTCACAAACACAGGTCGTTCCACCTGAAATAAAGGCCGAATTTGAAGCATTATAGCATTCCCCGCTTGAACCAAACGGCAGAAATCCGCTCCCACTACCTACCTACATATGGATATATATATAAGAAAATGTGACAGGTAAAATCCCAACTCCTTTTTTGATCCTGGGTATAAAAAAAAAAAAAAAGAAGCAAATTATGCCTTCCGCAGAATAAAATCATCCCTCATACCAAACTCACGACCCCCGCTGAATGTATGTATCTTGATTTTATATCCACGATGGGACCTGCATACGGGCATGCGTGACCGCTGCTGGTTTCCTTCGTCGGCTACCAATTGGAATAGAATCACCGTTCTCGTTCTCAGCCAAGTCTTCGAAATGCTGATGCCCAACCGTGATGAGCTTGATGACATTGCCGAAACCAACTGCGACCGACGCCGTGCCGACCTTGACCATTGGACCGAGTCCTGAGATGATGAGATGCGAGCCGATCTCGTAGTTGTCGTGGAGTGGCCTCGTTTCATACAGCTCCTCTCCTCCCAGCTGTGAAGCCACCCAGACCTCCCAGTTGTCCAATGACTTGCTCGGCCGTTTCTCCAGCCGCTGATACATCCTGCGGCGGAGGCCACCGGTGGTTGTGGGGGACGACTCGCCACTGCTTGACCCGCTGTCGTCAATAACTCTCCGCACGCCCACGAGGAAGCCGTTGGGTAGTGTTTCCCATGTGCCCGGATTGCGGATTTGACGCTTCGACTCGATCGTCTCGGACCAACCACTGCAGTTGCGACTGGAGGGGAGTTCCATATTGCGGAAACAAATGACGTTGCCATCCTCCTTGGGCGTAAAAGTGTGGATGATACAATCACCCGTCTCTGTGTGGTTGTACGCGATGCCAAATGAAACGAGGCCGATCGAACCGCATTGCGGCTTCCGTCGCGAGGAATGGACGCACCTCAGCGACCGCGGCTGGATGGGTTCTGTTTCAAAGGTGTGAAGGAGAGTTTTCGATTTCGCGTCAAAGAGGTCCACCGTCTGAGACCTGGCGACTAGGAACGAGCTGAGAGCCGACAGTGGTACGATCTGGCTCGCATCTCGATCTTCGACAGAGTGAGCATCGAGGCCTTGTGACGCCCAGGTGTCGTTCTCTTGCTGGGTCGCCACATGAATGCAGCCCTTTCTTGATGTCGTAAGTATCGACAGCTGCGAAGAGCCGTACGGAGCAATCTTTTGCACAAGCGGTCGGACCGAGACCAGGGGGCTCTTGCAGATTGTAAACTCCATCGGCTCTTTCATTCCAGGAATGATCTGCGTCATGGTCCCGTTTCGGCGGACAACGACAAGCGGGCTTGCGAAGTCAAAGGTCGGGGTGCCAAAGAAGAATCCCTCTGGCTTCTGGCCATTCAGTTCTACTGGGACTGGCTGACCCCAACGTTGCTCGACAAGGTTCCATAGAAACACCCTGTGAGATGACAACAAGGCCAACCAGCTGGATTTCTTGTCCGTGGCAACTGCCAGAATCGGGAAGGGGTTCTCAGGGGGCGGCTCGATATCGGCCAGCGAGTAATCACCACCTCCTGACCGGACGTCCCACACACGAATTGCCCGATCCAGTCCAACAGAGATGATATGCCCGTCGTACGATGATGACATCAAGACAACATCCAAAGAATGAGCTTCTGGAAGAGATTCGATCGCCAACAGAGGTTGGTCGCTCATGTCATCGTTACGTCTCGACTCGGCATCGTCTCCCCAAAGAAGATAGTTCATGAGAAGACGGACAGCCGAAACGATGAACAGTACGGTGGCGAGGAAGTGCTTCAAGTGATGGTCGATGAAATCGTACAAGGCCGGCAGCAGGGGGCGCTCCGGCGTGACGGGCGTGCGATCTGCGCCCTTGAGGACGAATACCAAGGGGTCATACACCCGGGCGATGTAACTATGGGACCGCGGCTTGATGACATTGATGACCTCGCGAGCACTTTCGTGATCTTGAAGGCGAAGCCAAGATGTAGGGCTTCGCGCTTGGTGGATGTCGACTAGCAGCGAGCTCTTTGGCTGGCTGAAGCTGACGGTGTCTCTGGAGATCCTAAAAACCCCCCGCAGGAGCCGGATGAATGTGTCGTTTTCAAAAAAGTGCCACTGCGCTATCAAGACAAAAGTGATCATGATGACTGTACCAGCGATGCGGGTGGACAGAGCTATCTTGCCCTGCAGCATCGCCTCGAACCAGCTGCATTTCAGCGGCTGCTCCTGTCCGTGTCGCTTGTTCTTCAAAAACGCTTTGGCCAGTGCGTCGCTGAGTTCTGTCCGTCGCACATCAACACTGAGGACGGCCAGGAAAAAGGTAGACATGTAGAAGAAGTCGAAAACAATAGCAACAGCCACAAAGGTGCAGAACGCGGATACGCCGGGCGAGACGATCTTGGACAGACCCCACAGGATGATGACATTCTGCGCCGAGCTAGCCAACGCAACGTGTGCTGTCTCTCCAAACGCGCGGCTGATTCGACTGCTCGTGCTGTTCTCCGAGGGAGTCATGATGACGGCGTTGATGAGTCTGAATATGTTTTCGAGGCTCATCGAGAGGACCACCACAGGATACGCCGCTTGCGGAATGCCGGACAAATCGACACGGAAGATGGCGCATACCGTAAAACTAGACATGATGGAGACAACGACCTGTACAAAGACCGTGACTATCAAGCCGATCTTGGACTTGACCGCTCTCAGTTTAGAGAGACTGTAGAAAAAGTAGACGCCTGCCAGGCCGTACGCGAGGGCAAGAATCACCGTGTCTTGCATGGATATTGGCATGAACTGGAACTCGTACAACTGGCTGGACATGCTCTTCCCGTCCGCCGGGTAAGCGGTCCATTTGTCCTTCATCCGGGTTGCAAGTGCTTCAGCTCTTCTCTCCCATTGACGGCCGACGGGCGAATCACGCATATGGATCAAGGTGATGACGAGTGCATCGGCTGCCAAGAGCTTTCTGTCTTCGAAGCGCTTTCCGCTGAAGACGATGGAATGCCTGAGAGTAACATTAACCGACGTCGGCTGTGTTTTCTTGGCGTTGACCGTGGAGACGATGTTTTCATCATCGGATATGCGCTCCCGTGAGCAGGACCAGTATTGAAGCGGCGAGTGGAAGAACCACGATTGGTTGTTGAGGCCGTTGACGACGTGAAATGTATCCCGCTCCTGAGGTGCAAGATCAGCATGGGGGTCGTGAGCCTGAGGGTTAGCAGTGGGCCGCCACGGGCTGAAATCTTTGGTGGGACCGAGCAGCTCGTCCTGAAGATCAAGGGCACCAAGTAGTACATCGCGGTCCAAAGCCTTCATATAGCTGCCGTGGACCCATATAGAGCGCATAATAACGTCGGACTCGATACTGTTTTCCTTGAGCGGCTGCGCAGCAGTCCACACATGGTGGGGGAGGTTAGATGCGCCATTGCTCAAGTCTGAGGTGTAGAGGAACGGGAAGGGGTATATGAGGATTGCGGCGACAGCAACGGAGATGATGAGGGTCGTAACAACATGCCTCGCGGCGTATCGACCGTATCGCGCAAAGGTTCGGCGGAGAGGGTGGTTCGGCGCAAGGACGGGAGCTTCGGTCGTTCTGATGGCAGGTCAGTCAGAACATGCATGGAATGTATTGGCACAGGATCAGGAAAGGGGAACAACTGCATACCCTCGCAAAGGATACAACAGGTACCAAATCATCTGCGGCGACGATTGCAAGTAAGCTTGCAGCGACTGCAGCAGAAGAGGAGGTCGACGAAGTTGCGAAAGCGGGCGGACTCAATCGAGCAGGCGATCCATCCAGTGTTTGACGGTGGTAGATAGTGATGATGTCGATGTCAGACTGCAAGTGATGGTCGCCGCACTCATGGTTCGGTTCGGCGGTTGCAGGCTACGTGAGACGGCTAGAACGATCCCACATATGGAGCGGCTAGGGAATCGTAGGTTCTTCGCGGTCGATGGCTGACGGGGAAATCAATAGGGTGGAAAGCTTTCAAGATGAATGCGCTCGGGGAGGGATGCGAACGAGTCTAATAAGTAAGGTTACGCGGTGGGAGGGTGGAGGGGATTGGCCGAGATTCGTCGGCCTCAAGTCCGTCAGCTGATGTAGTGTCGGGGAGACGTGCGTGCGTGGAACGACGGCAGCGACGATAGGGCCAGACCAGGTGCAGAACAAGGCCAACTATGTTATTTATCTAGCTCAGGTGCTCGTTCCGGAGTCGAGAGCTGAAGTACGTTGACCGTGGGAAGCTGTGCGAGTCGATTGAGCAGGATGCTTTCTTCGGCGGAGGGTCAATGTCGATGGATGTCCTGGTGTGTGGTGGTGGAGTGTCTCGTCCTGTATGGTTCGACTGACTGCGGCGCAGAGCGAAGCAGCCAACGCCGACGGTGCAATCTTGAATGCACCTAGTGTCAAAACGGCGACGATGCGGAGAAATAATGCGGACACGTGTAATATCGACAAAAGTTTGTGAGCGGCCCTGAGACGTCGAAGTGGAAGGGGGACTGATGTCGACGGGATGAGACGATACCCTTTCGCGGTGGTGGTGGTGGAGAGGGTAGGATGATTGGATTGATCGAGGAACTGAAGGTGATCTGACAAAGGCTGATGATCTAGCGTGTGCCGTAAACCGCAAATAGACAGAGGATAGCACTGTACTGGGCACGCAGGGGAATATGATGTGCAGTGGAGGTTGCAGAGGGGTACACTTCGGACAGACGTCGTCGCTCGTAGTATCCGTATAGCGTAGGAGAATGCCCGTAACGCGTCGACCTGAGGCTGAAAGGGGCCTCTCTTTCCCACTACGCCCCCTTCTCGCCTCCCAATTACGGTACTGGATTCCGCACTTGAGTTGCAGTGTACATCGCAGAGGTATCGGGGAGAGGTACCGATGTCCGGGGGGTGGGTGGGGGAGAAGTGGACCCCACCAATGGCCAATGATGGCAGCATTTTGTCAAGGAACATGGGACGACTTCCGTACGATATGAGCGCGAAGGGAAAAAAAACCCAGAAGAGGAAGAAAAGGAAAAAACTTTAATGAGACCTTAGCCACCCTTGTAGCGCGCCGATAAGGTAAGTGCCCAGGTAAAAAAAACGGGACGAAAAAGAATGTAGAATGATAGAATTAGAAAGGCAGACCTTCTGCATAGCATAGGTACGTGCTGGGGTACGTGCTCGGTCGGACTAGAGCGCTAGACTTGGCTCTGAGGAGTAACACAAACACCGCCTCCCCTTCCTTCAATGTGGTGGTTCTGTCCATCGCAGTGCTCGGCGCTTGGTGAGGGGTCTTCGAGCCGCTAAGGCCACTTGAATTTGAAGATGGACGAGACAAAAAAGTAACACGTGAAGCAGAGAAGACGAGAGGTGTCCAACAGAGCCAAGCCAGGGGCGTTTTGGCGTTGCTGCCAAGCTGGAGACGTCACAACCCGCTGGGTGTCTCGAGTCTGATAGGGGGTGTGCAAGAGGTGGGGTGATTGTCCACTGAGGACCAGCAAAGTCCCAACCGTGTGCCGGCGTTGACGTCTGCACATCTTTGAATGGTGAGACAATCCCAAGGACCTGCATGGGAAGAACTTCTTCCACTGCAACAACCCAACCGGCTTTTCCGTCTGTGAACCCACCCCCTCCCCCCCCGTTCCAAACTTTACCGCATCACCGGCCGAACCCCACTATGGAACGCCGGAAGAGGCACAAGGCGTTTGGTGTGCGGCTGGTAAAGGGGGGAAAGCAATGACAAGACAAAAAATGGGGGAAAGCATGGCTCAAAACAAGAACATTCCAAACCAGACAGCACCAAGCAGGCAGGCGGGCAGCGCATGCTGAGGAGAACAAGGTTTGGCGTGAGGGGTAATCTGGAGACGTCTTTTCGGGGTCGGAGTTGAGATGGGTGAGAAGCCCAAGAAAGTTTGGTCAAGCATCCCCTTGGCGAAACGCTACTGAACGGAACCCTGAGAGCAAGGCGTCAGCCGCAGCCACCTCATGCTTCTGAGGGAATTCGTCTCCCGAGGTTACCGGCAGTTGCTCCAAGCCAATCATGTGCGACTCTCAAACAGAATTTTCGATAGCATTTTTGGGACATTCCAGAAGCGAGGCAAGAACAATGAATGGCATGCCCCTGCCAGCCTGTATCGCCCGTGTTCCTCTGGTGCACCTTGGAGCCAGCCGGAAGCTTCTTGGGTACGGGTGACCCTGCCTGGCGTCCACTAGGACATGCCGTTTTCCCAGAGACGGACAAGGGAGAACCTATTGTGGCTTCCGAATGCTGTTGCCGTATCGGTAGTCGTTGCGTGCTGCGGTACTTCGAAGGGGGTCCCGATTAGGAACTGGTAACCGACAGCAGAGCGCAGGGCAAGGGGGGGCAGAGCATTGGCGCGCAGTTCTTTGCCGATATGTTGCTGCCGAGTCGTGGTACCGACGACGTCGCGGGAATGTCTGTCTCGTTTTGGCTTGAAGCAAAGGCCAGGTGACCGGGTAGAAACAAAACAGGGTCCTGATTGAGGGGACCGAGCGTCGATAGGTCTAGACTCTGGAGGTCTGTCGGACACCTATGTCTGTGTAGAGTCAGGCTGCGTTTCCCCCTGCTGCGATGCGCATGTGCTTGACCGAGGAACTCCCGACAGAGAGCGAGCTCGGCGAGGGAGACCGAAAGCGATCGAATGCGAGAATGAGAGAAAGAGACACCAGGCGGTGGGTGCGTCTCATCATTGGGCAGAGGCATTCTGCACCGTCCGGTCCCTGGCGCCAGGCGAAGACCACCTTAACAGGTTTCCAGGTTGACACTAGAGATCCTGAAAAGAAGGCGCTGCTGCAACCGCGAGGGTGACGTGGAAAGCCATCTTGGCGGGCATTTTTGGATTCCCCATCAACCCGTCTTGGGCGAACAGGCGTGCGGCTTATGCGTGTCGCGTATGGATCCCAAACGATAACTCCGAGCCGGGTGGTTGTGTTGTCGTTAAAGCAGTCAAAAGTGGCATACTTTTCTTTATTTTCTCTGCTGTGTCGCCTGGCGATCCCCATGGGTAGTGGGCCGGTGGCTTTTCTCGCTGGTGTTGCTGCCGCTTTCGGGCTCCTAGACTGCTCGGCACGGATGCTCCGCCGGGATTCGGGATGAATATGCATCGGAGCTGCACGGTCAATGTTGAACATCGTCAAAAACTCGGTGGCCACTAGCTGATAGACCCTATTAGTTTGATTCGTGTCGAGAAAAGGGGTAGACGTCGTTGGTAAAGCAATTTTGGTTCATCATTCGTAAGTCGAGGGAATGATGCCATTGTTCGTGCTTGGTAGGCGGGGAAGCATAACCCCCACGATACCAAAGACTAGAGCACACGTAGACGATGGAAGTTCCAGCGGAGGAACAAGAGGGAAGGATGGGACGCCCGTCATAAATAGCAGGAGAGAAGGAAAAAAAAGGCCCCTCGACCAGCCGCACCCAGCCCCAGATGGGATCTACCTAATCTATAATTAATCGGTCTCCCCTCTGCTACTGTTGTCAGAAAGAAGAAAATAAGACAGAGCTGCGGTGTGTTTGCTGCTGCTCGGAATCCCAGGGTTCTCATCATAATCAGGCCATGAGGATCCTGAAGTGGCCTGACTTCCCACTAATGCCGCTCCCCCCATTGGCTCCGCTTTGCCGTTTGCGCTTCGCACTAATACCATCCCAACGCGGTAACCAGACCCTCGTGCCCCTTATCCCCCTTTGGTGCGTTGTGGTGCATTCGCGAATCGAGCAATGGGGGAATAGGAATCCTTGCGCTCGCGTGTTCCCGCAGTGGCCTTCTCGCCTATGGCTCGTTCTTTTGGAGGACGCGATCCGGGGGGTGGGTTGTATTCGCTAGTAGGGCTTATTTTACACCGACCTGGCGCCGGCCGTGTGACCCGAGATATGAAGCAGGGTTGATCCAAAACCATCGATATCGCAGATCACCAGACCTATCAAGACTGGCTGAAATTGAACCTCGCCGGGCCATTTCAATTTCAGGCTCATAATATGTGAGGAACCGGAGAACCCAATATGATGGATGCCCTGTGGTTTGCCAACCGTTCGACTTGCAAGTGACCCGTTTTGCCTATCTTATTTTTATTTTGTTTCTCGCCCAGATATGTATCCAGTAACAGGCATATACCTTTTATTAGTCGTGCCACCGCAACTTGCATTCGCCTTTTTCTCCCATCGCCAGCGGTCGAGTACCAGTACACCATACCATAACCCGAGACCATGAGCCCAAAAGCCCCAGCGGCCTCAGGGGACCCCCTGGCCGAGCTCATTACCACGTACAACGAGCTCAACGGCGCTTTCATCGACGAGTTGGACGAGGAACCGAGCCCCCTCGAGTTTATGCGCTATGTCGCCCGCAACACGCCCTTCGTCGTCCGCGGGGCGGCGTCCTCCTGGCAGTCGAACAGGAAGTGGGATAAGGAGTACTTGGTGCAGATGTTCAAGGATCAGACCGTCAACGTCGCGGTGACGCCGTTTGGGTGAGTGGAATGGTCTCACGCGCCTCACATCCCGTAGCCTGGGGGGTGTCTGTCGTCTCATCATCGTCGGCTTACACGATGTACATAGCAACGCCGATGCCCCGACTGAGCACGACGGGGACGTCGTCTTCGCAAAGCCACATGAAGAAGACCAAGACTTTGAAGAGTTCATCAACTACGTAATCAACCAAGAAAGGAGCAGAGACACAACCTCGGAAGTCCGATATGCCCAGACCCGTACGTTGATCTCTCCCATCCTCAGTCACTCGCACTCACTTAATGTGAGAATGAGAGGTGCCCTCGAGCTTCATATCCGTTCCTCACTTATGAATCGCCACCTCTCAAGTACAACCTGCTTCCTCTTGCTGCTCTCTCACGCAACCCCCCCTCATCCCGCCTCTCACGATAAAAAATAACAAAACTCATCGAGACGAACGTGAACTCACGCACGACCCCTTTAGAAAACGACAACCTCCGCAACGAATATCTCCCCCTCTCCCCCCAGGTGCCGTCCTCAATCCCCTTTGCCCGCATCGCCCTCGACCGCGACCCGGATGCCGTGAACCTCTGGATCGGCGCCTCGCGCTCCGTCACCGCGCTGCACAAGGACAACTACGAGAACATCTACGTTCAGGTCCGCGGCCGCAAGCACTTCGCCCTCCTCCCGCCCTGCTGCCACCCCTGCGTCAACGAGAGGGCCCTTACGCCCGCGACTTACGTCCGTCGGGACGGCCGGCTGGAGCTGGCCCTCGACCGTGCCGAAGACGGGGTCGGCGGACCACCGGACGCGGTTCCTTTCGCGACGTGGGACCCGGATCTCCCAGGCGTCAATGCGACGCCCTACTCCCGCCTCGCCGAGGCCGTCCGAGTCACCTTGGAGCCGGGTGACATGCTCTATCTTCCCGCTATGTGGTATCACAAGGTTTCGCAGTCCTGCCCTGAAGACGGAGACGGCTTTGTCCTGGCCGTCAACTACTGGTCAGTCATGTACCCCCAAGAATGCCTAACCAGTTCTCTTCCATGTCATAGGAGGCTAACCATCATTTCCAGGTACGACATGGAATTCAGTGGACCGCTATATCCCATGAGCGCCTTTGTCCGAAACGTCAGCCTCCAAACGACATAGTCAGTCCCATGACATCAACGACATTAACATTTGGGATGATATAACGAATGGCTAGACGCCCCCCCCAATGAATAGAACAACCAGTGTTTTCGCCGCTTGGTTGAGTCTCTTCTCAACCCTAGCATGTGCCTTCACCATATGTACAAATGTGTATGCGCGATATACGCCCTGATTACCTCGAGAAGGTGGTTTTTTCCTCTTTCGTTCTTGCCCTAACCACTGTTCAAGGGATTACACTTTTCTCTTTTTTTTTAAATTCCAGCTTCCATCAAAAGAATTCGGTATCAGCGCAAGGTCTCGTTTTCGACCCGCCTGGTCCTGGAGATGGATCAGAAGCCCCTTTCGACCCAACATGAACGCCGAAACCCACCCTGCAAATCTCAAAGTGAATCATGTTACACTTTTCCCCACCCTTGCCCCCAGAAATCTCGTCTCCTTTCCTGTTGCCTTTGCCTTGGTTATGATGTATATAGTATAAACGCAGAAGACAGATCCAAGTGGGTATGCGTCGAAGTGAAGAAACAAGAGGCGGAAAGCAAGCCCGCCCCCACTAGATGAGACGGCAAGTCAAGTCCCAACTCCAGCAAGCAATTTGGCCTAGGAAATACAAAGAGTGGATGCAAAATGAACTACCTGCCCACCAAAAACACCTGAAAGCATCGACCGGGATTAGTTGAGGAATCCTTTACACGCCGCCGTACCACACAGACAGGGAATGCGATCCAGGCTGCCAATTTCACGCTCAAATTTGTAGTCATACGTCAGCTCCTCGTCTGCGAAAGGTTAGCTCCATGTCATACTGAAAAACGGGTTTCAAACAACGTACGTTGACCAATGTCGCGGAGGGCGTAGATGACGATCCGCTTGCTTCCGTCGACCTTGATGATCTTGGCCGTGCAATTGGGCATGCAGCTGTGGTTGATGAAACGAGCGATGCCGCCCTTCTTGGTGGCGTCGATGACCGTGTTGTCGTCAATACGGAACAGATAACTGCTGCCCATACCACTCTTGAGGTAGCGCTTTTCGCGAATCTCAGAGATGGATTGTCTGACTTGTTCTCCGACATACTCGATGATCATGTCGTCCTTGTTGATGTTTTCCTCTGTGTACAAACCCCAATTGTGAATCGCGGACCGGGCAAACTTGACAGGCTTCTTCCGCTTTTTAAGCTGGTTGAACTTAAAGGCGTCAGAGTCGCCCGATATCTTCTTCTCGTCCTGGAGTGCCGACACGTGACGACGATTGTTGGCGCGGTTGGCTCTTGAGTTGCCCTTGGCGACAACCTTTTCTGCCGCAGTGAGCCTGCTGGCCTCAATTGCAGCGTCCTTACCATCCCTCTGGTACTTGGCTTGACGTGCCTCTCTGGCCTTTTGGACCTTGATGTGGTGGGGCAGGTACTTGGACTTTTCGGCGTTAAGAATCTTTTTGACTCCTTCGGTTCGTGCAGCCCCGGTAGCGTTTGGGACGTAGTAGCCATCAATGCCCACGGCCTGGTCGACCGACCCGGAAGGGGAGTTAAGCTCCCGTACACGATTGCGCCGCCATAACCAGAGGAGCGGGTCTCCGAGATCTGCTCCAGCGAACCTCTTCCTGAGTTTGGTAACATCAGGGCCATCGCATGCGGACAGCGCGAGCTCTTGTAACGCGGAAATGCTGAGTTTGAAATCGCTAGATAGATCGAGAGCGGGGGTGGGTGTAGTCGAGAATAAGGCCGGATCTACCTTCGTTGGTAGCGGCAGCGGCTCTGGTTCCTCAACCTTGGTCTCTACCGGCACCGGCTTGACCTCTTCTAAAAGAGTCTCGGTCGGGGCTTGTGTTTCCTCCTCCATTTCCACTTCCACGGGTGTCGGGATGTGCTGCTTTTTGAGCGCCTCCCTTTCCTCAAACATCTGTTTCTTCGACTTCTTCTTCGACTTCGTCTTCTTGACTATGCCCTTGGAAGTTGACAGTGGAGTCTCGGATCGAGTGCTCTGTGCATCGAGCAAATCGGCGTCAGGGGTAGCCTCTTCCGAGATTTCGTGAACCAGCAACTCGGGTTCGACATTGTCTAGCGTGACCCCAAAGAGTTCCTCATCGGACTTCTTCTGACGTTTGATTGCCGACTGGATCTCGAGATCTAGTTTTCTCTTCTTCGTCGCTGTCAAACTTTCGCCAATAGCAAAGCTTGCCTCGGTCATAGAGTCTTCCTCCGCTGGTCCCCAGGAGGCAAAGTCATCCTTGACTTCGTCATCCGTGCTCATACGGCTGCGCGGCCTAGAATCGGGCTCTTCGGTATCTCTCGCCAGAGACTCTCTGATTGCAGCCTCGTCGTCAGATTCGGCGTCACTGTCGTAGCTCTTGAGACGATGGTGCAGCGACCTGAACGCATTGCGACTTTGCGACACCCGCTTGCGCGAGAAAGGATCGGTGAAGCCATGGTGGCGTGATCCTCCCTGAGCAGTAGCTTTGGCCTTACGGATTCGAGGCAGGGCCGATATCTCCAGACGGCCTGTACGACGCTCGATAGGGTCTGCACCTGAGTTGGGCGTGCTGACACCGGGGCTCTCATCACCAGCATCGACAGTGACAGATGGAACAGACCCGACTGGATCTTCCAGATGCAGCTGCCGTCGTTTTGTGACGTGGTTTGAAGGGTCCAGGAAAGTGGTCAGAGTAGGAGCAGCAACCCTCGTACGGATGTGCTTGATCAGATGCTCTGCCAGTTCCCGGGTGACAACCTCACAGGCTTCGAGGACAGGGTCAAAGTTTTTAGCTCTTTGCCGCTTCTCCTCCTCTACGTCTGCCTCTTCTTCTCGACGACGGCGGTCCTTGTCCTCTCGTAGTCGCACATCGCTTCGGCGCTTGCGTTCGGGACTTGGTGTTCGTCGTCGGGGCGGCGGGGCGGCGGACTCGGAATCTCGACTGGTCGTGGGTGGAAGGGAGAGCTGCATCACCATGTTGTAAGTGAACAGGTCGGTGTGATTAGCAGCCCTGTAGCATTTCATAGCTTCGTTGCGGCCGTGGTAGGAGTTGGGGAACAAGATGTAGTAGCCAGTACGGTCAATGCGGATATCTTCGAAAGCGAACGCTTTAAGTCGCTTCTTCATATGGGGTATCGTCGTAACCATGACGGGAACATGCTCGTGGGCAACAAAGATGTAGGGCTCGCACGCGAGCTGCTTTGCAATGATTTTCTCCTCGACAGCGACGTGCATCTTCGGTTGGCTCGGCACCCAAGCGGGAACCCCTGCCACGGCCTGCCTGTGCGAAGACGGGCCCTTTGGTGCCATGGGCGGCGGTCCAGGAACCTTGTCGGACACGATTGCTCGAGGGCCTGTCGGTGGCGCCTTCGTGATGGAGGCCTCTTGGGCAACTCTGTCTTTGTTGAGGGCATCCTCCAGCATTTGTCGGCTCTTCTTGCCTTCAGGATCATATTCGACTCGGATTTGGTTCGCCTCAATGCGCTGCCCATGCATCGACTTGACGGCCCGGCGCGCGGCATCAATCGCCTTGATAGAGGCGGGCCTCGACCGACTGGGATGCGCATCCTTGTAACGGAACGTTGCGAATCCTAGGTAGCTACCAGTCTCAGGATGCATCTTGTTGCTGCTCTCTGCAATGTCGCCAAAGGTCGCAAAGGCCGCCGTCACCTTGGAAAATGTGATTAAGGGATTGAAGCCAGTAACGACAATCTGTGTTGGCGGCCCTGGCCCGATGGAGGTCTTGGGGTCGTAGGGGTACGGTCTCAAATTGTAGGGCGATTGTCGCAAGCGAGACTTGGGGAGGTGGAAATCGGTATTGATGTAACCCAGTCGCCCGCCCTTTGCAAGGCGAGGGTCGGGAGGAGGGGCGTCATCTTCCTACTCAGTTTATTAGCCAGAGCTCTCACGCGCAAGATGACGCCCCCCTCCCCAGGGCGGGTATATTGTGTTTGTACATACCAATCCAAACTCCTTATATATCGGCTTGGCATCTTTCCTGCCATGCTTCGACAGGGTCCGGTCGATATTGGGGTCATATGTGCACTTGATGCCTTTTCGCGATCGAGTAGGATCTCGCGCAGGAGTGCGCTCAATCGGAGGATATGGTTCCGGGATTTGTGAGCTGCCCAGGCGGGATGGTGGGATATTTTGAGAGGCCGGTGCCTCACCCTGATCGGTATCATGTACTTGTAGCATATTCGTCTTCGACAGGCCGACATTACCCGAGTTTGAGGGTGATTCAACGGACGTGGGCGGCGTGCCGCTGGATGTAGGGATATGAGATATACCGTTGGGAACAGCTTGCCGCGCAGTCGAGCTCAGGACGGAGGAGACAGTGCTCTCATAGGAGCTCGCAGACCCAACGGTGTTGAGAATATCTCCTATGGGGGACTCGCGGCCTGCGGTTGGCTGTTGCGAGGTGTCGGATAGTAGGCCATCAGCTCCGGATGTTCTTCCGCCACTCGTGCCGTTGGGCAGAGGGGTGCTGCCGCTGCTTTTCGGACCGGCGATCGAGCCGCCTGCTGTATCTTGAATCTTGACCTTTGCCTTTTCTCGTTCGGCTCTGTCCTTAGCGACGCGGGGGGCTGCAGGGAAGAACTGCGCGAAGCTCGCCGAAGATTGGCGGGTCATCGTGAGATTGTTCTGCTTCTACCGCACCCGCCTGCCACCAAACATTGTCTCTCTTGTGTACCGGATGGTTCAAAGAGCACGGTTCATCGCCAAAGCCAACGGCTGTAGAAGTGTAGCGAAGGGACGAAGCGCGTAATCGATGTTCACGCGACTGAGGCGTAGTCACCGATACGGGCGGTTGGCAAGGGGCAGGAGCCCAGCTACGTCATCCAAGGAAGGAAGATACCCAGTCGCAGAGGGATGAGCTTCGATGTAATCAATCGGAAAAAGTGCAGATGAGGTCGGATAAGTCGTGCGCTGGGACCGATGGACGGTGAGGCTGGAGAAAATGTAGCAGCGAGGTCAGAAAGTTGGAGGTTGAAGAGTGTCCAAACTCTTCAGGGATGCGATTTAGCGGAGACCAGCACAAGGCGAGAGAGGACCGTAACAGCGTTACGCATGGATGTTCTAGGTAGGTACAGACAGGACCTGAACTCTGAACCATGTACCGCTCTGCAAAATTAAGCGTCTGGGTACCTTGAGTGGGCTAGCCACGCAGCAACCAACACGTGACCAAATCGCGTCGAACAGTCCACTTCTTTTTCGCGTCTGTCAAGGGGGAAAGCGACAGGGGCGCCACAGAAACGAACTTGTTCTTTGGGGCAAGAACCAATGAGGTATCTCATGTGTCCTTTGCTTGGAGACAGTTTCTTGGTTGTGCATCTACCTTCATAAGCAACACTTCCTAGGTTGGCAACTTGAAACAGTCTTAAGCTTTCCGCAGACTGGACACATGAAAGCAATTAAAGAAGAAATAGCTACGGCCCTCAGACAATGACCACGCAGCCGTGTTAATCATGTTTGCTAAAAAATGCCATTCAGTGGTCAACAAAATAAATGCAATGGTGTGATAAGCCTTATTCCGGACACGTTCTTTGGTCGCCCGTTCGACCGTCTTCTTACGGGTGTGATATTGGGTAACGATATCAGCCAAACGCCTCCTGGTCTCCTGCCATCCGGTTGCTGTACAAATGAGGCCAATCCTGTCCAAACGCCCTTTAATGACCTGATTGAGTGATCAGAAACTCAACTTCATTTCAAACTCCTCACCTTCCTCAAAGTCTTCATTTCGTGGACCGGCGCTACCGATACCATCATCCTCATCTTCTCCAGCGGGATCAAAGATGGACAAGAACTGCAGTCGGCTGAGGTCCTCGTTCTCGTCACGAACCTCTTGCTTCTGTTTCTGAGGTGATGCGTCACGCCTAACAACAGTCTTCGGGGGGGCAATCGTGGCGATATCTGTCGAGGCAGGTCGGGCTGGAGGTCGTCCGTTGATAACGGATGAGGCCGTACGGCCCTTTGTATATCCCAGAGTGTTTCTCGACGCTGCTTCTCCCATGGCGCTCTCGGCAGCTATAGACTTTGAGGCTACGGCGCCAGCTGCGGGCCTGGTACGTGGAAGCAGGGCAGAGATAGGCCGTCGGGCTGTAGACTTCTGCTCAACAGGCCTCTTCTGTTGAATAGTGGAACTCGTCGTCATAGAAAGAGCAGACGCGGCCCGTCTAGAGGTGATGGTAGGAGGATACTTAGGGGCACCTCCCACGACTCTTCTAGTGACGGCCGGGTTAGGGGCCGGGCCGGGGGCCTTTCTTTGGGCAAAGGCTGCAGTCTCGGGTACGTCGGAAACGGACCAGTCCATCTCCCGAATGTCACGGAGAATACGCTCATCACTCTCCTTCAAGGCTTTCTTGAGGCTTTCCTTGTGCTTCCTGTCTTGCAACCTGACACCGTCCTCACCCAGGGGGTTGTAGAAGTGGTTGTAATAGCCCTTGAACATATTCTCCGGCTTGAGGCCCTCAAATGTCAAAACCCCATCAGGAAAGACATCCGACTCGTAAGGCAGATCCTTGGCGGGGACTGGCGCATATTCAACGTCAGGCTCCTCGGCCACGCCAGATTGGTCATTGCGAACTTCGAGCTTCAAAGGGCCGACGCCGGGAGAACGCTGCTTGAGCTTCTTGGTAGTTGTGGGCTTCGTCTGAGTCTTCTCAAGGTCCTTTCCTCCGGCATTCTGGGTAGACCTGGTCTTTGCGTTGGTGGTCTTGTTTCCGAGTGGCGCGCGGGCCCGTGTTTCTGACAACAATGTCAGTCTCGTTGTTCTTCTTAGCCACAAGCCAAGGGAATTATACCGGACGGGGTGACGAGGTTCTGCTTCTTGACAGTGCCCTGGATGTTACCAATCGACTTGGGCGCAAGAGCCATCTTGGCTCCTCCAGCGGCGTTCTCATCATTGAGGGGAATCTTCAAGGGCGTCTTCGGGTATCGGGCCCCGGGGGTCCTGGGGGCCAGCTGCCCTTTTCCAGGTGCCAGTCGAGCGGCCTGAGCTGCGTTGACAGCGTTCTCGTCGCGAAGGGCCAACATTTTCCCTGGAGCCGGATGCGAAAGTGTCGATCGATATGTCTGGGGCTGTTGGTGTCGTGAAGCGTCGTCGTGTATATTGGTGTATGTCGTTATTCAGTCCCTTGTAATCTTGGGGCTAGTCGCGTTGGTGTCGTTCAGAGTGAAAGAGATGGCAAACGGAACCGTCTGTTTTGCGGCTGCGTTGTCGGGGCAACGAACAAAGAAGAAGCTCAGACCCTGCGGAAAGCTCCGCAGATAGAATGCTCACTTCTCGGAAAGCACGACCAGACTGAAACCCCGCCTGACTAACCCCACCCCACCGCTTGGGCCCAAGCTAATCCAATTGCAGCTGCCTCCCAGTGTGAAGATCAGGCCTGGCAAGCCTGGCTCTGCCGGCATGCTGAGTGAGGGTGGTCCGCCACAAGTCACACAGTTGAAGCGGACTTGCATGTAGAGGGGCAGTTATTTCAACACCTCACACTTCCTCTCGCTTCCATCCCCCGACAATCGCGACTTCCAATCCCGTCACATCCTCAACACTCCTTATCGCAATCAACCTGCACCAACTTGACCACAGTCCAAAGCCACTTGCAGCTCATTATCATCATGGATCGCATCAAGGAGGTAAGTGAACTGTCCTCATTCGAGCCCCACCCAGCTGCTACTGGCGGTCTGGAGGGGTAGGATATCCCCTTACGACGCCGTGTCATCGGTTGCTGACGACGACTTTTCCTCTTAGAAAATGAACCAGCTCCGTCTGGAGGCCGACGACAACGCTGCCAAGGTCGAGGAGCTTCAGGCCAAGGTTAAGTCGCTGGAGCAGGAGAACCTGTCCAAGGAGCAGGAGATCACCTCTCTCCAGCACAAGAACGGCCTGCTCGAGGGCGAGATCGAGAAGCTGGAGACTGCCGTTAAGGACTTCAAGAAGGCTGCCGACGAGAGCACCAGCACTGGCACACAAAACGAGACTCTTCAGCGAAGACTCCAGCTCCTCGAGGAGGAGGCCGAGGAGGCGGACAAGACCCTTCGGGAAGCCAACGAGAAGTACGTTCTGGACCCTGTTCACCGAATCGACGACACCCCCCTTTTCGCTTCCCGACCCCTTTTGTTCTCATTAAAGTCAGCCCCACCGATGGCCGATGCTTACTTACACCGTCTTTTTACAGGCTCAGACAAACTGACGTCAAGGCCGGCCACTTCGAGCGCAAGGTCCAGGCTCTCGAGGCGGAGCGCGACCAGTGGGAGTCCAAATACGAGGAGATGGCCAAGAAGTACACAGCGGTCCAGAAGGAGCTCGAGGACTTCCAAAACGAGATTGGCAACATCTAAGGCTGTTTTTCAAGGGGCGACGTTGTGTGCAAGGCTTTTCTTTCATGATAGATTTCCCGGCCTGGAACAATGTGTTGGCGACCTGATCATGAAGCTATCCCGACAGTGGTAGATTGCAAATGACGGGACGGTTCGCGACCGAGTTATAGCACCAGCCCTTGTTTTTACTCACTTTTGTAACCCCCGTCAACACCGAGTGTTTGTTCCGCTTGCAAATATTTATATCATTTGTTCGCAGCCGACATGAGGGCGAATACACAAAACGACTCAGACCACGCTGGCCGTGAGGCAAGCCCGAGGCAGCAGTTGCAGCAGCAATCAATGCTAAAATCATTATACCCTCCTTCGAACCACTACTCTTTCTTGAATTTTGCCTTCTTCTTGGCTTTTGCCTTCTTCGCGCCCAGCGACCGTTCTAGCTTCGTCTCGTAGCGAAATTTCTTCTTTTTGGGCCACTCCTTGCGGGCCTTGGTTGTTGTCGCCTTGTCGTCGTCTACCCGCTTCTCTGCCTTAGATTCGTCTTGGCTGTCCGCTTCCGCCTCGTCGCTGTCGTGGTGGAGCTTTTCGAGCCCGTCCCGCGTCACAGATATGGCCTCGACCTTGACCGTTGTATACCGGTCCTCGTCTAGGTACTCGTCTTCGTAGTCCACGACGTCTGCTTGCTCCTTGGGCGCCTCCTCAATGCCGTCCCACTCCTCAAAGTCTTCCGCGTTGATCTCCTCATCCTCGTCCGAGTTTGCTGCCTGGGCCTCTTCGAGAATAGCGCTAACAGCTTTGACGTGGTCTTCGACTTCTCGTTGTCTCTCAACTCTGAGCTACACGTGCGGATTATTAGTCGAAAAGTTTTATAAACAGCCACACCAACACGTAAGGGGCAGGGGACCATGAAAACCTATTTCCCATACCTGTTTCCTCATTTCAATCTTCTCTTCCCGCGCCTTCTTGGCCGCTTGTTCCTGCGCCCATTTCACCCGCTGTAGTTTGCGCTTGTGGAACCCCGTCAAGTAGTCCTGGCGCGCGTCGAAGTCAAAGTTGACCTCCTCCACTGCCGAGACCGCCTTTCTCTTTTTCGACACGGTTGGAAGGACTGACTTCTTTGGCCGGGGTTTGGCGAACATATTGGGGTTCGGTTGGTTGTGCCGTCAAAACTCGTCGAAGTGTGCTGGTTCACCGGTGGTTTTTGGGCGCTGAATTGAAATTTTTGGGAAGGGTCCTCTGCACCACCAGCCTTGCGGCCGGCGCGCGCATCAGGTCCTTGCTGCTGCAGCCTCTGCCAGGGCCCACTGGCGCGGGCCAAGCCGAGGGGCTAAATGCGCTGGACAGACCTCGCTAATGTGCATCCGTCACTGAGAACCAGGTGACACACCGAAGGCTCTACGACATGGTTTTCAACAGCCGTACGTGCTGACAATTGTCCGATGGCTTTGAGTTTCCCACAGTGTGCATAGGCATTCCGCAACCAGCCTGATGGTAAAACATAGACTGAGTCTACGTGGGTACTAGCTCAGCAAGTCACTGCCAATCGAAAAGCGCGGGGGTTTCAGTGAGGTAGGTCTACAGGACTTAATTTTCAAGAGTTGACAACACCTGTAAACACACTCGGGGAGTGAAGAGTACAGTACACGCTTGCTGCCAATAGCTGCAGCAAAAGGCATCACCGTGAACCAGCCGAGCCCTGCATTGGTGACTATTGAACAAGTTTTAAACCCAACTTAAGGTCAACAACGGACAAACAGCGAGATAGCAGAGGTCGAAGAAACGTTGGTCTCAAGACTTCGCTGACAGGGGAGTCTCGTTTGCAATAAGTGGCAGTGCACTATTGCCGATAGGCTGATAAGGAGGAAAGACGTTAGAGGACGTAATATGTATCTAAACGAGGGCCACTCAAGTTTCTGATTACACAGAACACTGCTTAGGCGCATGCCCGCAAGCTACGTCGTCCCTGGAGCTAATCCGCAGCATCACTCCCAGCAGCACGACGAAGGCTAGCCATCGCATCCAAACGGGCCAGTCTCAACACATCATCCAACCATGCGTCTATCAAGAACAGCAGGCCTCATGGCCTTCTGCGCCTCGGCGCAAGCGTTCACCGACTCGTCACCTTTTGTGATGCTGTCAACCGCCAAGTACGTTGAGAAGTCGTCGCTTCTACATGCCAATTTATCTTCGTCGGCATACTGACATCCCTCTAGCTTCGCGCAGTCGGACCGAGCCCAGCTCCAGACCGAATCTCAAGTCGCCAAATCCGTCCAGGAACTTCTCTCCTCGTGTCCCACGGACCGCTACCTCCTCGTCGCCCAGCCCAACGTCAACGCCGCAGACATCCGTGGCCCGGACGGCGGCGACTGCAAGGTCCCGAACCTGTGCCGCGCGATCTCTAGCAGCGACGTCCAAGGTGTCTACAGCGTCGCCGAGGTCGTTGGAGAGGTGTCTATCGATGTGTTGAACGACTACATCAAGACTGCGTGCGCGGGCAAGACGGTCGAGATCGGGCAGACCCGGCTAGCCCCCCTCGGACGGGACACCCGCGAGAGGGCCAGCACGCTCGCCGACAACGACTACGTCCTGGGCCGCAACCTTGAGAAGATGCGTAGCGAGTCGGACTCGTACACCGTCATCTATCTTGCTAGCCCATCCGAGCCTACCTACCAGGCCGAGTTCACTGGCGAGCCTCTGCACGCCGAGCTCAAGCGCCATGACGCGAGCATACTGCATGCCAGGAAGGATAAGAACGAGACCGAGTGGAACAAGCTTCCCCTCTTCGAGAAATACGTCTTCTTCTCTCCAGGTAAGTACTCGTCGGAAATACCCTCCACACTTTGTAACCTTTCGGAAACTGGAGAACTGACAAGCGCATAGGCATCTTCCACGCCATCGTTGCCTCCATTATCCTCTTCAGCATCCTTGGTGTCGCCATCAAGGCCCTCGCAAGCCTTGAGATTCCCTATGGGGCTTTCGAAAAGGAGAATGGCCCCGCCGCTCATAAGAAGGGCCAGTAGATGTATACCGCATACGCCCACAGGAGCATTCAATGAATGCTTCCACAGCGACCCGTGTATTTCAACTTGGAAAACGTCAGGAGTTACTGGCTGACTTTGACATGTTTCGAGCAAAGGAGGGGAGGATAGCATGGCATGAAGGGCGGATTGTGAAAGTGCGGTCTGAAGAGACCCAATGTAGTGTTTTCGCAAATGGCATGAATGTGTATTTCTACAACAAATGGACTTTTTTTTCACTCTTTTGGCCGCCCATCCCCACTAGACCTCTTCATGATGTCGATGAAACGCCGCAAACGCCTCCCTTCTCAAGTCCGATATGGCCGTCTCAAGTCTTTACAGCTCCGGTGCCCGCAAAGACCGTCGTCGCAATCCGTCGTCGCCCCCCTTCAAGACCTGCACTGCACTGGGCCTAGACCAGATGGCTCGGCAGCAGGAAGTTGGCGATACCCTCGCGGATGGCGTACTCGTGCCCGCACTCGCCGCAGACGAGCTTGCCCTCCATGATCTGCGTCTCCATGAGCAGGTGGTGCAGGTCCTTGAGCATCTTATCGTCACCCTCGAGCTGCTCCGCCGAGGGGGGCTCGGAGGGGAGTTCGGGGAAGCCCAACTTTTTGCGAGTCGTCAGCGCCGTTCTACACTTCGTCGACGGCCCGAAACAACGGAGTTCCTTTCTGATATGGAACAACACAGCATGCTAAGAAACGAGACAGGCGGAGAAGGCCAAAGTCGCGAGATAACATGCGAGAGAGAGAGAGAGAGGGAGGGAGAGGGGTACGGATGAAAAAAAAGTGCAATACACAAGACAAGAAAATGAATCAATAAACATACCTCGGTCGCGTTCGTTCGCAGGGCGGCCCAGTCTAAGCGGGGCAGGACGTTGAGCAGGAGCTGGGGGTTGACCTCGATGTCGTCCTGCACCAGCTCCGCGTCCTTGGGGTGTAGGGGAAACGAGGCCGCCGAGGATTTGCAAGTCTTGACCGCGCAGGTCAGGAAGTTTAGGCTAAGAATCTTCATTTTGTATCTTTCTTTCTTTTGGGCGGGCGGGAAGATGGTCGTTGTGGTATTTTCCTATTCTATTAGATGTTGTTTGAGTCGAAGTTTTGGCCTTCATGGAAATTTTCGGGTACCCCACACGTGATGCACTTTGGGGATGTGGGCGTATGCAGCTATCGGACTACCCATCCGGGAGAGGACTCGAGACGAATACGATTAACATCACGACATGCACCGCTCAAGATACCGGCTACCGATACCGTGTAATTTGACCTGTACTTATATTTTTGGCAATCTTGTCCTTGTTGTATTTCCTTGCCTAATGTTGGTCACTCTCTCCCGCATCCCTTGCCTTTTATGCCATCGTCTTCTCGTGGCCGACACTGTTCCTCAAGGCACGCGACTTGCTGATCTTGAGGTAAATGGCGATCGCGGCAACAACAACGCCAAGGAACATGCCCTTCTGGAGGAGGGACCAGCCCTCACCGGAACCGACCTCCAGAGGAGTGTCCTCGTTGGAGTAGCCTGCCGCCCATTCGCTGTTACCGAATTCGCCTGTAGAGCCAGGGGGCGTAGCCATCAGCAAACCACGTACGTTTCGTTTTGTTTATTTTGGTGCAAAGTCATCAAGAGGCAGAGATTGTATGGTAGATGGATGTGTCGGGTTTGGTGAGGAAGACGGAGACGTGAGGGATAACGGGTGTCACAGTACGTGCTCAGAGTTCCACGTGGATACCTTCAGGGGGCACCTCCAGCTCTCCGCTCTTGGCGACCTTGATCGTCTTGACGGGGCGGTCGCCAGGCTGGGTCTGGGTCTGCTCGATCTTCTCGACGACGTCGTAGCCCTCGAGGACCTCGCCGAAGACGACGTGGCGGCCATCGAGCCAACTGTGGTTCTCGTGTTAGTACTGCGGTCCGGCTGGGTGGCTCGTGCATTGAGAGTGGTAAGCTTACGAGGTGATGACGGTGGTGATGAAGAACTGGGAGCCGTTGGTGTCCTTGCCGGCGTTGGCCATGGACAAGAGACCCTTCTTGGAGTGCTTGAGCTTGAAGTTCTCATCGGGGAACTTCTCGCCGTAGACTGCGACCCAAGGCGTCAGTCGTCGATTGCCACATAGCGATTGTTTTGTCAACGATCACTTACTAGACTTGCCACCGGTGCCGTCGCCCTTGGTAAAGTCACCGCCCTGGATCATGAACTGCTTGATAACGCGGTGGAAGGTAGAGCCCTCATATCCGAAACCCTTCTCGCCGGTGGCGAGAGCGCGGAAGTTCTCGGCCGTCTTAGGAACGGTTTTGCCGTAGAGGCCAATGACGATGCGGCCGAGAGGCTCATCTCCTTCGGTAATATCGAAGTAGACCTTGTGGGTGATCTTGGGGCCCTTCGTGGCCTCGGCGGTCTGCGCGAAGAAGACCAGAGCCACGCCAGCAAGGAGGAGGGCGGAGACGAGTTTCCGCAGGGTAAACATGATGGGCGACGAAGAGGAGTCTATCGTAGGGTGACAGAGTTCGGTGTTTGGTGATGCAAAGAGCCGTCTGGAGCGATGGCAAGTTATCTCCAGGAGGACAGTGTGTTAAATAAGAGAATACTCTGGGAGCGCTGGCTGCATTGGAGCAACGTTTCAAACCTCCCCTCCCTGAAGCACGCGAATGAGGAACTGGAGCTCGGACCCTGACAGCCGAAACTGCCCAATGGGGAGAGGCAATCCGAGTAAGTGGATGCGTTTGTCTGCATAGGGGCGCGTGGGGTCACAGCCGTGCTAACGGAATCCGTCAAATGCAGGCAGCGCAATGTCTATCGCCACCTAGAGCAGCATTCAAATGTCGCCGGCCAGCGTGGATCCACTATTTTCCGGCGCCCGACTCTCCGCGGCCGGGCTCTGTGATTTCTGAGTTTCGCGATTCCAGCGTTTGGCAGTCGAAGCAGAACGAGGCGACACAATAATCGATCGTCTGGCTACAACATAGCAGCATACCGACAAGATGGTACGTTTTGGACCTCCATTTTTTCGCCCGGATCAAGACTAACCCAGTTTTCTCACAGGTTTTCATTCTTGGAGTCAACTTTTCCGAGCAGAAGCTCGTGAAGGTATGGCCATTTGCCCTCCCATGACCGGCGACGACGTGCGACTTGCAAGTTTTCCACGGGCAATGCTAACCCTGAATTCCTCGCCACAGAAGGCGCTCGAGTCTTTCTTTGCACTCGGGCCGACCGCATCGCAACGCATCCTGGCCAAGTACTCGATCCACCCGATGGCCAAAGTCGGCACCCTGGCCCCCAAGACCGTCACGGCCCTGACGGCAGAGTTATCGAATATGACGATAGAGAACGATGCGCGGAAAGTCATACAGCAAAACGTCATGAGACTAAAGGACATGGGAAGCTACCGGGGGAGACGACACGCCATGGGCCTGCCCGTCAGAGGTCAACGCACGAGGACCCAGATCGAGACGGCGAAGAAGCTTAACCGCGCGGATAGAAAATGGTGAGCGAGCGGCACGGCTGGTCAAAGGGGAGAGGATGCATGGCTTGGAGTTTTGAGAAGGGTCTCTTGCCTGAGATCGTCGACTGTACAAGATAGACGGGTGCGTGGAACACCTAGACATGTATGAATATGATATAACTATACCACTTGTACCGCCACAGATATGGCGATAAACGACGTTTTGCTGGACTGCAATAGCCAAGCGCTGTCACATTTGTGTTTCTCTGCCCCAAAAGCAAGTCTCCTGTAACTGAACTACGTAAAGCTGGGCAGATCATCCTCGAGAGGAAGCTCGCCCTCCTTCTGCAGCTTGGCCGCAACTGCGTCAACCTCCTTCCAGACGCGAAGAATGTTTCCGCCAACGACCTTGGCCGCATCCTCATCGCTCAAACCCTGCCTCAGCAACTCGGCGACAAGGTCTGGGTACTTGGACACGTCCTCCAATCCATTGGGGACCGACCCAATTCCATCAAAGTCGGAGCCGAAGCCGACGTGGTCGAAGCCGATGAGGTTGCCAATGTGCAGCACGTGCCGGGCAACCTGGGCGAGCGTGGCATTGCCGGGGAAGTACGTCGGCAGACCGTTGGCGTTGCCGGACTCGACGCACGTGATGAACTCGGGGGCGAAGTTGACCATGACGACTGCGTTGCGCTGTTTGACGAGCTGCAGCACGTTATCCTTGACGTTGCGTGGGTGCGGGCACACGCTAAAGGCAGAGCTATGGGAGAAGATGACGGGCGCCTTGCTGCCCTCCCAGTCCTTGCCTCCCAGAACATCAATCTGTGTCTCCTCGCTGGTGTGGCTATCAGCATACGATCATGGGGAGGTTGTGCATGGAGCTAACCTCGTGTGGGAGAGATCAACAATAAGACCGACTCGGTTCATTTCGTGGATGAGGCGACGGCCAGCTGGGCTGACACCATGCCATAGGGGCTCGGCCTTGCGCAGAGGGCTCTCGAGAAGCGCGGCGTCGGCGAACTTGTTGTGACAGTTGTGGGTGAGAGTCGAGTAGCGGACGCCCATGGCATGGTAACGTCGGAGGTTGGCGACCGAGTTGCCGATCTGGTGCAGTCCCTCGACTCCCAAGGGGGATATCAGCTGACCCTGATGGAAGGCCGCCAGAGCAGCATCGCTGTCCAGGTTGGGAGAGAAATCTTTGGGATAGGCCTCCTTGATACGATTCATGACATCGATCTGTTGAAGAGTCCATTGGACGCCTACAGGAACTTGTTAGCATTGGAGGGTCGTGGGTTACTGCACAGCTCATATTTACTTTCGGCGTAGTTTGCATCGGAAAAGTCACTGCCATTATCCGGGCATGGAACGAAAACGCTCCAGAATGCACCCCCGTTCTGTCCCTCACGAAGCCTGGGTAGATCAACATGTTGCATAAAGCCGCCGTTCACAAAGGGCTCGGTGAAGTTCTTCCCGTAGATGTGATTATTGAAGTAAAACCGTACGAGAATTGGAAGATCATTATGGCCGTCTACGTAGGGTGTTAGTAACCATCTTGGTTCACAAAGCAGCCAGACGATATCGTACCGATCAGCGGCGTATGGGACAAGATGCCGCGAGCTCTCTGCTCGAAGGTAAGGGATGCTCCCCATGGCTTCCTCATTTGATGATAGCATGATCTCACGGGATGATAGGTGAAAGTCAGAGACAGCAGCCATAGCGCGAAGCAAGCGACGACTGCCCTCTTTGCCGGAGACAGGCTTTTGCGAGGGGCCAACGCAGCCTCCTCGCATGCCTTATCGGCTGCCAGACGATGCTTCTCATTCATTGTTCCTGCGCAGGCTCAGGGTCGACGTGACCAAGTAAGTCTTGGTAGCGAGCGGTTATCCGTGTTCCAACTCTGTCATCAGTATAAGCATATCGCTCGGAGGACATGGACCAAGTATTTTACCGTTTAGTGAACGTTGCACATGAATATCAACCCAAGCCAAGATGGACAAATGGGGTTCTGCAGATACCTTGCAGAGAGGACGTACGGCGGGGATCGCGTTTCCTCTCACACATTTCTTATCATGTCACGTCATGACTGGGGTCAAAGCTCCGAGGTGCGATTGCACGGAACTTTTATCCGCGAGTCAACCCGGGCGATAAGCAACCAGTTGGGAAGCTCGAAATTGGCCAGAGCACAGGATCCCCAAAACTTTGTTTTTGTGCTTACCGTCAGAAGTATATTATATGCGAAACCAATAGCGGAACGGGCTGTATGAATTATCGCAGTCGACTACGAATCCTCACATAGTGAGTGTTGGGGAGGCGATCCTCTGTTGAAGCATTTGGGGGGGGGGGGGGGGGGCTAAGGAAGATGGCATAGGGACAAAGAACAAGATGAACGAATGATCCATAACTGGTCTTGAACTTCAGATTGCTCTCAACTCAGGATACGGCCTCTAGTTCTACTCGGCCTGTGATAAAGGATAGGGATGGACCCCGACTGATAGTACAGAAAAGCACAAATACTTCAGCGTTCGAGGCCAACGGGTTTAACTGAACAGCGGAACTTGCAAATGGCATCCTCCAACCTCCAGAAACAAGACAACAGAGCACGTCCTCAACAAGAAACATGTGCGTGCAGCCAGGACTGACACTGGCAGAGCTACCGACGGACGATTTAGAATTTCGGGAACGGGCTATTTTCTATCAGACGAGAAGCTCCAAGTTCCATAGAGCATTGTGACTTCGGATGCGTGCCGGATCTTGCGTTACGCCTTACCCCAGCCAACTTCCTCGGGGTTTCCTCGTATGTCTGGCTGTGTGGACAACCACCAACTGAGATAATTACGGGTTCAACCGGGCCAGGGTTGGATGCCGTTGCCCCCTGCCATCTCCTTGACGGCTATTAATATCGGCTTTTGTCGTCCGGGGAACCGTCTGGCCTGTTAGTAACGAGTGAGGGGAGGAGAGACGTTCGTATTCCATTTTGTGATTGACAAGGACTAGTTTTCTTTGTGGTTGAGTGAACGCCTCGGCCAGCAACAAAGCACAAGAACAAAGAGAGAGGTATCGAGTTACGACTACGTAGTGGACGCAGTTGGGAGGATGGAACCCAATCCTAGACTGCATACTGCATAAATGACGATGACGGTGCTTAATACATAGCACAATGCCAAACTGGCGGCGATCAGCCTTGTCGGAAAGTGGCAGGTTTCGGTCCTCAGAGTTCAAACTCACAAGTCCTCTCCTCTGGTCTTCTCAACTCTTCTCAACCGGGGGTCGCCCCATCGTTCTGCAACAGAGGCGAATGCAGGGGCGCACACATGCTCCTTAGTGACTGGCGTGGCATTTCTACGACTTGTGCTTTGCATTGCTTTGCTTGGCTGCCTCATTCAGGGTCATTTGCTTTTTGTGGAGCCAAAGGGGGTCACTTGGAGTTGCCTCTGATCACTTGGCCCAGTCACAGACCAAGAGGGTGTACAAGTGGACACCGGGCAGTGTGGCTGGAGTCGAAGACTGAGAGGGACGGATACGTTTCCAAGATACGATGTATTTTTGGCTTCGGATGGCTCCTACCACCATCATTGGTCTGATTGCGTGGGTTGTGGGTATCCATCCGCACCTTTCAGCCAAGGTTCCGGCTACCAAGTCGCTCGGTGAGCCCTGCCTGGGCCAGCGTTCGTCATGGAGACCAATGAAAGCCGTGTCTGAGCAGCGGGAGCCCGAGGGCCAGAAGCTGTTGTCAGACTGCCTGGCCCCGGCCCGTCGGGCTGAGTTGTACACCCCCCCACCAGCACGGATGGCTTTGATCTGGGTTGATGCCGTTTCACTGGGTACACTACTGGCCGAGGGAGGTAGGCGTGATGCGGGAGTGAGGGAGTGGGTGGTGGTGCTGCTGCAAGTCGCAAAGCTTCACTGACGCCTGCGGAGACGACGCATAGCACGGCGTGGCATGGCATGGCATGGCATGGCATGGCACACTGCAGTACACTGCAGACAGCAAATAGCAGCTTTTTCGTCCTTCCTTCCTTCCTTCCTTGCCGCCCCAAACCCGTTTTCAACCTTGAACCTGGAACCTGTCAGCCATCAGAGCAAGCAAACACCTCCATAGCCTACATCCCGTTTCGTGTTTCTCCTCCAAAATTTCCTCCAACTGGCATGTGCCCCTGACAAAGGACGACGACGACGACCACGACCACGAACCCTCTTCACATTTTGCTTCTTTGCTTGGTTTTTTCGCACCTATCCACAAACACACACACACACACTCTCTCTCTCTCTCTATCTCTCTCTCCCTCCCCCCCTCTCTCCCTCTCTTGTTTCGTTCTACTTTACAGCCCTCATTTGTTGGTTGTGGCCTCTGCTTACGCATCTGCATCTCTGCACCAACGCCTCAACTGCGACTGACGTATTTGTAAAAATAACCACCCGGCCCATTCTCCTCCCACCACCGCCGCCTTCCACTTCTTGCATAACGACGAAACGAAACATTCCAACCCGTCCGGTCTTTTCTCTTCGCCTGCCGACCTTGTAGCGTTGGGTGGCATCAGCACAAAACCATTGTGAAGACAGCTATAAGCTTTTAGGCATCATGCCGGGCTTTGCAGATTCCTTTTGGTCCAGCGACTACGCTGCAGGTAAGTTGACCAAATGCGCTGCTCCCAACCCCTCCGACTGTGGCTGAGTAGCTTTGTGTTAGGACTGGGTGTCCTGTTTGGCAAGTTGCAGCAGGGCGTGCAAGAAAACCGACAAGTCCTGACCGTTGCTCGAATGCGGGCCGAAGCCGAGGAAATCTACAGCCAGCGGTTAGGAGACATTGCACCAACGGCAGACAAGGTCCAAGGCGGCTTTTCGAAAGATGACGGCGCCAGCGTTCGCAAGGTTCGTACAACGCTCCCCCCGAGAGCTTCTCTGGGGAACCACTGCTAACCCACCATCCCAGGCCTTCGATGGCGTTCGGACCGAGATGGAAGAAGGTGCCAAGAACCACAAAAAGATCGCCCAGAACATCCGGGACCTCGTTGTTAACCCCTTCTCGCGCTGGTGCGATGCTCACGAGTCACGCATCCAGGACTCCCAGGACGAGTTGCAGGCCCGCATCAAGGCGCACGACAAGCAAGCCGAGTTGGTCAAGAAGCTGCGGAGCACTTACTTCAATAAGTGCAGGCTGGTTGAGGATATCGAGGAAGAGACCAAGCTGGCCTTTCAGGACCCCGAGAACAGCCCCAAGAATATCCCCGAGATCAAGGTGTCCGAGAACAAAGAGTCCGAGCTCCATCCCCAAGAAGACGATGACGAGCCCATTGAGATCGGCGACGAGTTCTACCAGCCCGAGCAGGTCAAGAAGATACTAGCGCACATGCTGAACACGATCAAACTTGGAGAGACCAAGGTCCCCATCCTCGGAACCTACCAGAACACATCGGCCGGCTCCGACATCGTCGAGTACCTACAACGGCACATGAACACAACGAGCGTCAGTTACGCTGAGAGAATCGGCCAGGACCTCATCTCGAACGGATATCTCAGGCTTATTGGCAACGTTGGCAGCACTTTCGCCAACAGCTCCAAGATGTTCTACCAGTGGCGCCCCAAGGCTTTCAAGCTGGCTGGCGTACCCGACAAGAAAGCGCCTCTAGGCCGAACATTCTCCCTCCCCGCCTCCGAGTCGGCCGATTCGCCCGTTGTCGGAACCGTCAGCGAGTACCTTGCCAACTGGAACGTTCTCAACAACCAGCACCCCAACGAAACCCCGCCGGAGCGACTGCGCCGCGAGGCCAGGGAAGCGGACGACAAGTACAAGGCGAGCGTGCGTAAGCTAGACGAGATGCGCTGCGAGCTGGAGGAGACCATCTTTGTGCACCTGCGTTTTCTGGAGCGCTGCGAGCTGGACCGCCTCAAGGCCATCAAGACTGTCATCTTGGACTTCTCGGGCACCATCAGCAACGTCATCCCCAGCATGCAGTCTGCTGTCGACAACATGATGCTCTTCCAAGAGACTGTTCAGCCTCTGGGTGACTTGAGATATCTGCTCGAGAGCTACCGGACTGGCAGCTTCGTTCCCAAAGTGGTCGTCTACGAGAACTACTACAACAAGGTTGACGAGCAGACATTTGGCGTGGATCTCGAAGCGAGAGCGCGTGCGGATAAGAAGCGCGTGCCCGTCATTGTCACCACTATCCTGACGTACCTGGACAACCGCTACCCCGATCTTGAGGGGGACGAGGCCAGACGCGGTGTCTGGCTGGTCGATGTTCCCCTGCAGCAGGTTCATAAGCTCCGCATGAAGCTTAATGACGGCAAGCCTATCTCGCCCGATGTTTTTGACGAATTTGATATCCCGACTGTTGCAAGCTTGCTCAAGCTGTACCTTCTTGAACTGCCTGGTAAGACGACCCTGCCCAGATAACTTGGAGGCCATCTGCTGACAACGCAACAGATTCTCTCGTCTCATCCCATGTATATGAGATTGTCAGAACGATATACCAGACCCAATCTCAAGAAAGCGACGCTTCTCGTGTGTCCGTGCTGCAGCAGACGCTGTCACAAATGCGACTCACTAATATCGCAACGCTTGACGCCTGCATGAACCATTTCACCCGCCTGATCGACCTCACCTCGGCTGACGAGGCTTACATCTCGACTCTAGCCACAACCATCGCGCCTTGCGTCCTCCGCCCCCGAGCGGAAACTTCTCTGACCATGGAGGAGAAGCATGCTTACAGGCTCGTTCGCGATCTTTTTGCCCACAAAGAGGCCATCTTCAGCGAACTGAAGCGCATGTCTACGGTGAACCACGGCGGTTCGATCAACCGCCCCCGCGCCATCAGCAGCGACGAGAGCAACCGGAGAGCAAACATGGAAGAGCGGAATAGAGCTCTGCTCGAGAAGGCTGCCGGTAGCCGCGGCCGTGCCACTAGCCCTGCTCCTAGCCCCCGCGGACACAGACGTGACCGCAGCACGGGCGGCCCCGAGACTCGCTTCCCGATCCAGACGAGCCCGCCCGCGTCTGCAGTTGACCGTCACCGCTCTAGCTTAGGCAGCGTGGTTGGCACCAAGCGGTCGAGTCTTGAGGTCCCCGGCAGCGAAACGGAGACAGCGACGACCAACGGCTCCACGGCACCTGGCTCTGAGGGCGTTGCGGCCAGAATCAAGGCTCTCGAGTCTCCCGCCGAGAAGCGCAACAGCTTGGGTCGCAGCAGCGTTCGGTACTCCCTGGACCGCCACGTCGCAGCGGCATCAAGCAACGGAACGGAGAGCGGCTCATCGACGCCCCGCGACTCAGGGCCCCCCCGCGGAGTGACGCTCGAGGACAAGCCTATGGATGACTAAAGCGTGCTAGCCATGATGTTATTGTTTAAAGATGCTATCTTCAGGCTTTGCTCCTCATTTCCCCTTTTCTCCTTTTCTTAATGTCTATTTTTTTTACCCACCCCCCACAACAAACTTGACGATTCTCCTTTTTATTCTCGCAACGTGTGACGCTGGTAGGAACGTGCGTGTGTAACGAAGGATGGGACGGTCTACAGGGGAAACCAAAAAAAGGGAGAAATCACAGGCTGGTTTTGTTTTCTGGCGGCGGCGGCACAGTGAAGGGAAAGAAAGCGAAGCCGTTTCTCATGGGTGTCCCCTTTGTATCATGTCTGTATGTAAACCCACGAGGGAATATGGGGGGAGGAGTGCTAGGGAATAGGAGAGCAAAGAGGCAGAAGAGAAGAGAAGTCTAACGTCCAACCATGAAATGAAGTGTCCTGTGTGATTCAGAGTGACAGTGTAGAGTTGTCATGATAACTGACGGGAGTGCAGGCAAAGCGGGCTTCTTTCTGCCTTGCTTGTCAGACTTGGGGCCTGACCGGTTTTTACGGATTATCATCTCCAGGGCCCCATCCTGTTGGATGTTGCTCCGACGTGTACACAAAAGCCAAGACATACTACGACTTATATGTGAACGGGGGGTGGGTGGGGACCTTGTGCTCCTGTGAACCTTTGGTTGCATCTCGCCTTTCTGTATCTGTTGGTCATCTATCTATGCATGCATGGTCATTTTCTTTCATTCTCTCGCTCGCCGCTTTTACCAATTGCCTTCCTCAATGGCACTCCCCCCTACCCCGTCCCAGACCTAACCGCTGTCCCCCGCAATCTCGGCCATCTTGGTCGTCTTCTTTTTCTTCTTCTTCTTGGGCACCACGACGGCAGGGCCGGCTCCCTGCCCGTTCTCACGGCCCTCGACAGCCGCCTCGGGAGGCGGCATCAGTGCGCTATCCTCCCCGCCGCCGCTGTCCTCCGCGTCCCCCGTCAGGAGGACTGCAGGTGGCGCAATCTCGGTCACGGCCTTCTTCTTTTTCTTCTTCGGCTTGACCGACTCTGTGCCGCCCTTCTCCTTTTCCTTATCCTTGCTCTTCTTTGTCTTCTTCTTGACCACCGTGCCCGCGACATCGACGCCTTGCGCCACCTGGATGCGCTCGTTGGCGCGCTGCATCTCGAGCCGCAGCCGCTCCACCTCCTTCATCGCCTGCGCCATCTCCGCCTCCTCGCGCTGCTGCCGTTCGTAATCGAACGGCGCGTTGGACGAGCCTGTGTCGCTCTCGAGGCTGAGGGACCCAAGCGTCGATGAGTCCACATGGAGGAGGCCCTGGCGAAGCTTCTTGGCGCGCGACTTGGTGAAGCTGTCCGAATTGTTCTCTGACTCGTAGTTGCGCGGCGTCGAGATCCCGCTGCCGGCGAGCGTCTCGTCCGCGGCAATGACGACCCTTTGCCTCTGCCGCGGCTGAGGTTGCGGTCGGCGGTTGGGGGACGCGGGCCCCGGCGCCGAGCTGCCCAGCTTGTCGAGATCCAGCTGCATGATCGGGATGGAGTCAATGTCCAGATCCGGGCCGTTCTCTTTCTGGAGGATGTTATGGATTGGGGTGGAGGTCCTGGGAGTGGTGCCGGGAGCACCAATGTAGAACGGGTCGTCGCGGTTCCTCTCGTTCCGCTCGGCTTTCCTCCTCGCCACGATGTCGGCGTCGAGGTAACTGTCCTCGGTCGCCTGCTGGTAAGAGCTGACAACCTCTTCTGTCGGTGCGTCGGCAATCCTGTTGATCGCTGGTTCGGCCGAGGACACGCTTGTGGGCGCTGGACGTTGGTGGTAGTAGACCTCGAAATCGTCCGCCTCATTAGCCCCCATCGGTATCACATCCGCCTGGGCAAGAAGATGAGCCAGGTTCGGATGGATGGCCTCGTCCAGGTCCAGACCCTCGGGGATGGGCACGTTCCGTTGCGCTCCAACAGCCACAGAGTTGAGCTCCCATCCCTGGAACAAGGACGGAATCGCCTGGGTCAGCAACAGCGGCGGTTCCTGGTGAGCTTCGTCGGAAGTCGCTGCTTGACCTGAGGTGGCCTCCGCAGTGAGTTTGAGGAGTTCGACGAACTCAACGGATCTCTCCTGGACCTCGAGGTTAGGGTGAAGAGCAAGCGGCTCGAGTGCATGAATAACGCGCGCCAGCAGTAACGAAATCTTCGTCTTCCATTCTGGGGTCCATGGCTGCCCTTCGTTGCCTGCGATGAAGGCGAAGATCTTCGTTACGCCCTGCAGACTGGTCGTGAGAATATCGGGTTTTTGTGTCCGTGACAGTATCCTCAGCAGGTTGTCTAGCGTGTCTTCGGGGAACGCCAGTTGATTGGCGTATTCTCCAACAAGCCACGACGTCGATTTTAATGATGCTGAAGAGAGATGGTGGCCTGCAGGGGTGTCGGTGTTCATTTGCTGAATGATGAGATCGGCAGCCCGTACGGCCGCGCCTCGTAGCGCATGGACCTTGACTGCGACATTCCTCAACTCGTCTCCGATTCTTCCAGACACGTCTCCCGCTATTGACTTGCCGGAGGCGGCGACCGAGTCGAGTTCCGTCTCAATCGACCGCGGTGTTGGCGCCATGCGGACTAGCTGGATAAGGACGTCGATATACCAATCAAAATCCACCAAGCTGATGTAGTTGTTCTGCGAGCACATCGTCAGGATCCTCCCGATCACATCAGTCCTGTAGTCGTCAGGCAGTGGAGGCTCTTCTTGGTCCTTTGTTGGCGAGCGAATCTCGGCCTGTGCCTCTTCGTCCGAGTCTATCCCGGTATCCGGCCGGAGAGGCGCCCCTGGTCGGTCCCTTTTAGGTGTGGACGACTTGAGCTGCTTCATCAGGCGGCTCACAATGGACACCAGGTTGTCGCTGCTCACCATACCCTGGACGAGATCCAAGGCCTTGATGCGAATGGTGATGTCGGGGCTGTCGATGCATTCCAGGATGACGTCCTCTTGTTGCGCCACAAGGAAAGGGTGCGTCACAACAATCTTGTTGAAGGCAAGCAACGCGACGTATTTCACTGCTCAGGTCAGATTTCGAACCTAGAAGTTGCGGCAAGAGTACTCACAGTTCGGATCACCATCCACCATGATCATGCCCCTGAGCTTGTTCACGCAGAGGGTCGCGATCTCCTCCCTGCCGGATATGTCGTCTGCGCTGCCCAGGATACCTCCCTGAATAATGCCGTTTATACACTCATACAGCAACGACATGGCAGGCGTTGTCCGGATCAGCTCAGTCAAGGGCGGCAGCAATTTTCGAACAAGGCGCGGTTCTAATGGCGTCAAAGTCGCAAACTATATTCCACGTCAGCAACCTCCCCTCAGCAGCCCCGCACTCTCGCAAACATACCAGTTTGATCAGCTTGATAGCCATCCAGTTGTTACCTCCATCCACGAGCAGCTCGAACAGCCTTGGCGCCAGCGGCAGGAAGTCGTGCGGCCTCCTCCAGCCGAGCTCACATACCACGTTGACGATGGCCGCCGTGACGCTTGGGTCCTCGTCCTTGTCCATCAGGCGCTCCTTGATCTTGGGCCACGCCGCTCGCAGCGTCTCGGGGTACACCAGGGCCAGGCGGTACAGCGTTACAATGGTCTTCTTGCGGATGGCCGGGTTCGAGTGGCCGAGGCGCGGGAGCAGATCCGAGAGGGTCGAGAGGGCGAGGGATGGTGTGATGATGTGCGGCAGCGTGGTCATTGGCAGGGAAATGGTGGTCGCATGTGTCGACGACAGATCCTGGCAGCGGCATAGCGTTAGTTCTTGTCTCTGTGCAGGTCCAAACGTGCCCGCCCTACCTGGGGAGAAACAGTACCTTTTTCAAGAGATTCGTGGCCAGCATCAGCACTTCGGTATCAGGTCGGAAGCTCTGCACGGCGGCCAAGTACCCGACCCTCTTCTGGTGGTATTTTGGCGACGACATAACCTCGAGGACATGGAAGGAAGCCCATGACATGTCGTGACCGACCATCTCCAAGTACACCAGCTTCAACAGCGCCGTCGCCTTGACGTCTACGGACGTAAGCTGTCAGAATGCGGTTCCCTCTTCAAAAACAACCAATGCAGCCGCCTTTATTTGATGGGGAGGGAGTATCTCACCCATGTCCTGTCCGCGAACCTCTGCGCGGCATTCTTTCAAGCTGTTCTGTATGTATTCGCGTTCGTTGCCCTTATGGTTCCGCAGGCCTCTGATGAGGTCGTAGAGGGATTTCTCGAACCTGGCGGGACGTGCGATGCACCGTTAGCGCGCTGCCAGTCTTCATAGCCTTCCTTTTGGCGGTTGCGCGGGTACGTCTCTAACGACCTACATCTTGACAATTGCAGCAGCCCCCACGCGAGGGAGGGTGAAAGCCTAGATCGATCGGGCAGTTGTCGAGCTGTCGTCTATCGTGGGGGAGGGCGAATGTCGGGAGAACTAGGTCAGGTAAACGAAGGCGTCCGGGCTCTCTGGCACATTTTGGACCAAGGCTTCTTTCCTGGCAGACTTTTCGTCGCGAGCGCCGTGGGCTCGATTCGCGAACGGTGGGCTGTTGGCTCGGTGTTCGTGAACGTCCAAGGAATGTCGGAGTCGGGGGGGGATGGAACAGTGATGCAGGCTTGCTGTGGCTTGACAACTTGCCTTGGCTTATGGAGAGAGCTTGGTGCGCTGCCCGGTGCTGTTCGTTAACCCAACCCCACCAAAACCCAGGGAATGATGTGCCGCGCTCAAGGGTGACGGTACATACATACTGTGTATCTTTTGGGATATCAGTATGTCGGGCACTGTACGGCGACGACGTGGTAGCTAGCTAGCTTCTTTCCGCTGAAAGTGCCTGTCATCGTCATTACACATGGTCCACGGCATCCTTTTTTTTTTTTTTCATTTACCCGACCTTTCCTTTCAATGGGACGAACTTGTTAAGGAGGAGAATCAAGGCTTTTAGATGTCCTTGTACAATACTCTCGTTTTTCTTTCATCACAAATCGATTCTCATTCCAAGCAGCATTGTATGATTGCCAGTATGGCCTGCTGACGCCTGCTGCACCTCATTCCGCACTTAAACCGTATCGCGACCACTACAACAGCAAAACCACAATCAGCACAATTCAACATCTGATCTCAACCCGCAACATCTCCCCCACAATGGCGACCGCGCGGCCCCTACTCCGCCTCCCTCCCCCGCTTCGGGCCCTCCGATGCGCGCCTGCAGCCCTCGCCCGACCGCCCCCGCGCCGTCACTTCTTCAACCTACCCAATCTCTCCGCGACCGAGCCCCAGACGCTCACGGCCTCCCGGACGATGCCCTACCTCTCCACCCAGCTGTACGACGTCATTGCCGATGTCGACGCCTATGATTCCTTCGTCCCCTACTGCGCCCAGTCCCGCGTCACCCAATGGACGGCCCCCGACGCCTCCGGCCGCCGCTGGCCCGTCCAGGCCGACCTCCGCGTCGGCTGGGGCGGCTTCGAGGAGACCTTCACTAGCAGGCTGCACTGCGTTCCTGGGAAAAGTGTCGAAGCGGTCAGTGGCGCCGACGTCGAGGGCGCGAGCCCGGGCAACGGCGGGGAGGGAGGCGCCGTGTTCAGGAGCCTGGTGACCAAGTGGCAGCTGCGGCCGCTGACCTCCGGTACGGGCACCGAAGTCGATTTAGTCATCAGGTTCCAGTTCGCGAATCCGCTCTACTCGGCCGTGAGTGCCGCCGTGTCTGAAAAGGTTGCTGGCGTCATGATCCAGGCCTTCGAAAAGCGGGTGAAGGCTGTTTTGGGAGTTCCCAGACTATAGGCGGAGTATGCAATGATAGAGCATTAATACAGATAGACTTAAGACTAATGAAGAAATCACAAACGCTGAAAAACACAAGGCCGAGTCGCCACTATCAGACATCTAGGTTGCAAAACATCCGCTCTCTTTTTTTTGTTGCCCAGTCTTCCACCACCGCGATGTGCACAGCAAACAGAAACAAATGAATCATCTGGGTACCTTAAATCAAAAGAAAAAAGTCACAGTCTTGTCCTCCTCTTTTTGCGCCGTGCCTTTAACATAGTGCAGCTTCCAGCTTTCCTCCATATGCAATGCCTTGCCCAAAACGTGTGCGGTCTCTGAGGAAAAATGTCTTCCATCTGTGTGGAGCACCCGTTTGCCAAGTTTGACCCCTCCACGGCTCATACTCCGGCATACATGCGTTATAGACGTTGAAATGAACCATGATGTCCGTGAGATCCATTGCTTACATACGTACAGTAAATGTTGGAAATCCAAGCAAAGCAGAAAAGAAATAGACGCGTAAAGGTATCATATGTAAATAACCAAAAAGATCCCAAACCATAAGACCGCAGGAAGCGTTATCGTAGCAGTGTTTCATAGCAAAGCTTTCGCATGGCGCACTAATGATGATCATTTCCTGGTCCTGCCGACTGTTAGTTACCGGCCTTCTCACTGAGCATCAAAGTTGAACACGTACTTCTTCTTGGGGGCCTTTGCACCACCGGCCATCCAGCTGAGCATCGAGCCCTGGGCCTTTCTGTGTTTCGTCTTGGGGGGCTCGACGTTGACGATTGTGGCACCGGGAGGAGGACCACGTTGGCCCTGCCAACCTGGAGGGGGAGGTGGTGGCACGGCGCCGCCGCCGCCGCCGCCGGGGCGACCACCCGGGGGAACCATGCCTGGCGGGAAAGCACCCATCCGTTGTTGATGTCCGCGCATGCCCTGCATATGCGCCGCCATTCTGTCCATCGGCGCCATACCAGGACGCATACCAACAGGTGGAGGGGGCTTGTCCATAGGCCACATGCGCATCTCGATGGTCCAGTCCGGCTCAACCACCTTATCCCAGACTTGGGGCAGAATGATCTCCCCGTTGGGCCCAATCAGGTCGTAGTGTCCCTCTTGAACATGGGGGCCGATGACGTCCACATGGACAAAGGCTTGCTTGATGAGCTCTTCCATGCCCTGGCGGTTAAAGTTAGATTGGTGTCAACACGTGTGTAGTATATGTAGAGTGGGCATACCGTCCAGGTCGAGCACAGATGAAAGGGGAAGCTAAACTTCCTGCCGACGGCATCCTTGAACTTGATTGGAGCCATGTCTTTGGCCTTGTCCTTCTCGGACTCATACTTGGCTCTGGCTTCCTCGGCGATCTTCTTCTCGAGCTCCTTTGCCTCCTTCTTCTTGGCTTCGGCAGCGGCGGCAGCTTCCTCGGCAGCCTTTTTCTCGTCCTCGAGCTTTTTGCGGGCCTCAAACTCGGCCCTCGCCTTCATCTCCTCCTCCTCTTTCTTCTTCGCGGCTTCTGCGTCCGCCTTGGCCTTGAGCGCAGCCGCAAACTCGGCCTCGGCCTTCAGCCTGGCCTCCTCCGCCCGTCGTTTGGCCTCTGCCGCTTCCTCCTCGGCAGCTTTCTTCGCGGCCGCGACCTGGGCCAGATAGTCGGCTTCGGCCTTGGCCTTGAGGTCCGCCTCGAGCTTAGCTTGCGCTGCAGCAGCCTCGGCAGCCGCCTTCTTCTCAGCCTCAAGCTTGGCGCGGGCCTCTTCTTCGGCCCTCTTCTTCATCTCTTCCTCCCACTTCCGCTTTTCTTCGGCCTCTTTCGCTTCCTTGGCCCTGAGCTCGGCCTCGGCGCGAAGGGCATCCCTGAGCCTTTGCTCCGCCTCGGCTTGGGCCTTTAGGCGGGCCTCTTCTTCAAGCTTCTTCCGCTCGGCCTCGGCCTTGTGTTCGCGCTCCAGTCTCTCCCTGGCTTCGCGTTCGACGCGGGCCATCGCCTCCTGGTGGAGCTTCTGCCTCTGCTCCTCCTCTTTGCGTTCGGCCTCGATTCTCTCTCTGGCTGCCTTCTCGGCCTCAATCTTGGCCTTCTCGATCTCCCTCTGCGCCTGCTCTTGAGCTCGTTTCAAGTCCTCCATCCTGCGGGTGATGGCCTCTTCAGCCTCCTTTCGAAGCTTCTCTTCCAGCTCCTTCCGCTTTTGCTCCTCCTCCTTCTGTGCCTGCTCCTTCTTGAAGAGTTCGATTTGTTGCTGGAGCTTGATCTTCTCGGGATCCTCCTTGGGTGGCGGCGGTGGCTCGTTTGCTGGAGTCTTGGACGGCCCAGGGGCTTCCGTGGGTGGTGGCGGAGGTGCGGACTGATACATGCCCCATTGATGCATCTGTCCGTAGCCTGGTTGGTTGTACATAGCCGGTGGTTGCGGCTGCTGATACGGCATCATATCATACTGGGATTGGCGAGGGTCATGGAAATAGCTCTGCCCACTGGCATGAGACATTGGGGAGAATGCATTGTTGCCACCATAGCCAAAGGGAACCATCTGGTTTGCGGGATGTCCATAGGGGCTCGGAGCAAAACCGCTGACATGGCTTTGAGGAAATCCGGGGGGTGCGTGACCGCCACGGCCGCCGTAGTAGGAGCCCGGGTGTCCTCCGTGGGCGGGAGGCCTATGGCCATAGCCGCCAACGCCGCGAGGGGCGAAGGGGGACGGTGTGTATTCATCGGAGGGAGCCACGCTTTCAGGATGGTTCGGCACTGAACCGGGCCGATACGGGAATTGGCTAGGAGGAGGGTGGTGAGGGTGGTGAGGGAGCTGGTGGTGACGGACGGGAGCACGCTGTAGTGGCGCCGGACGGCTTTGATATCTGGGAGCAGGGCTGACGGATGCAGAATCGTCCGGATGGAGATCCCCCTCTTCGGATGTGGCGTAATCTTCGTTTTCCGCCGAATCGGAGCTGATGCCTTCAGTATCGTTATAGTACTGCGACTCGTCCTCACTGGCAGAGGCGGATCGGGAAGTGGTTGCCCCGGACGAGGTCTGGCCAGGGCGTCGATAGGAGTGCCGTCTTTCCGGAGTGTGTTAGTTGACTAGTGCCTGGTGAATGCCACCAAGTCGGTTGGTCCCTGGCGTAGTTGAAAATATGTAACTTACGCGGACGACATGAGGATGTGAATGAGGGTTGTGTGCGTTTTTGTGTCAGTGGGTGTGGCGGCAAGACCCTCTACTCACGACAATCTCGAAAGAAGGTCGTAGCAAAGGGACAGATCGGGCTTGGACGTGTGTGGGAAGAGATAGAGCGACCGAGAGTGAGCCTTCCGCTTCTGGAAACCGATGGGATCTCGTCGTTGGCGGCGGTCGACTGTGTTCAAGACGGGAACTGGATGCAGCGTTCGCCCTTGCGCAGCTCAGTCAAGGAGGGGGAAGACCCAAGCACGAACGGATGGCGGGTAACGAGACGAAGTGCGGATGACGGGGGGATCGAGCGCACAAAAAAATAAAAGGATGATCAGACGACGAAGGTGTGTCGGTGAGGAGGGATGCCGGCGGCTTCAGGAAAACAAAGTTTCTCCGTGAGAAGGATTGAGTTGGGAGGCGGGTGGGATTGCGAAAATTGAGGGGTGGGCGGCAGTCGGTGGGTGGGTATTCGTTCGTGGGCTCTTGGATGTAACCGGGAAAGCCCCTGCTGTTTTGGCGAGATCGTGCCGTTGGGCGCAAAGAGGTGCGAACGATTGGGTGCAGGGAAAACTGTGGCAGCTGGGCAGCTATTGCGGGTCTGGCAACCGCTCCGTCCAAGACAACGGTAAGGCGATGGCCAAGGCGTACAGGGAGTTGTCGTAGGTAGGCACTAGGTATGTGGGTAGGCAGGTTAGGTATGTGTGCAAACTAAGCCGCAGCCACTGCCACTCTGCTCGTAAACCACTAGACGGCCAAGCCTTGACGGGTGGGAAGAGGATGGAAGTAGAGCCTCTGGCGCGGTTGAGGTGGCGATGCGATCGCTATGTTGTACCGCCGTGTGATGCGATGCGATGTGATGCGAGAGATAACAGGATGGAAAGCTAAGTGGAATAGGGCCTGTCCGTCATGTAACCAATATGGTGGATGAGGCGGGACAACTGCCGCACACACAGGACTGGAGGAGGGGAGGGCCTTGGAAAGGAGGCTTCTTCTCTGGCGTCAGGGAGACCCGGCAGACGGGGGGTTATCTGTGAGGGCAAAATGTGGGCAACGGTCGACCACGACTAATGATTTGGTGGTGCAATGCCGAGTGTCGCAAAGGGTGCTAAGCTACAAGCCTCAGATCAGCAATGTTCCGGTGAATCATCTGCAGTGGAATTTGGCGGAAAGCGCCGGGCGTGTGAAGACAGACGGGGGGGCACACAGACACAGAGCAATGGAATGAACTGGGGCTGGGCGTGAGAATGGGTATGGGGGGAGGGGACGAAAGTGCACCAAGAGAAACCACCAGAAGAAGCCCACACAACGACCAGGGCGCGCCCAACCCCGCCATCCTCAGCCAGCCTGCACTGCTTTCCAGGCAGACGACGCGCTAAAAGGCGGGCGTTTGACCAAGAGCCCCCCTGACTACAGCCGAGCCAAAGTAGAAGAAAAGATGGCAAGGGGCTCCGTGCTGCCCTCTGTTCTGCCACGAAGCCATCCTCATCCATCTATCTGCTGGGCTCCCCCTCGTGGGCTCTGGGAAGAGGTAGGAAATAAACGCAAGGGGGGACGGGGGGATCGGATGGATGATGGACTGGGCGGAGACAGGTAAGACACTGACAGGGCAGACCTGGCAGGGGTGGAGATGGGCACGAGGAGGGGATGGGGCAGGCCTAGACTATGCAGTAAGGCCTCGAGCCCCCTTGTTTTCTTGTCCCACTTGGGCGCCCGGGGAGATACTGGGTCAGGTCCACTGACAGTGCGCCATCGACCAACAGCAACGAATCGACGACGAATTGTCACTCAGTGACTAGCAGCATCGCTCCGCTGGCGAGTGGGCGCCTGCGCAGGACTTCCAATTGAATTCCAAGCGCCCTCTTGCAAAACGGCCAACAACCAGACTGGCCCGTGATGCGAGGCTGTGTGTGCCCTTGCTGGGCTCATACAGGCAGGATACCTCAATGTCAACAAAGGCGGGCATCGGCAGCTGGCCAGGATGCTTGATTGCCATGCGTGCTGTACTGGCTGGCCGCAGGTAGCCGGCACTTGACAGCTTGTTGACAGGGAAGATGGAAGGACAGGCGAACCGACAGTCTTTGGGGAAACGACGCGGAGCAACGACGCTGCAGAAACAACATCCGCGTCCATGCTAGCAACAACGTGAGGGGGTGACTGAGGAATGCGACAGCATCCCACCATGCGAAACGGGGAAGGCGCGTGCAAATAAACAATGGCATAGGTGACAACGGAAGCTGAGAGAAGGTCTGAACGTACCTTAGTTTGTCTTTGTGCCCTTCCTTGGGTAGGTAAGTACCTCCCTCAGTGCTGCGTCGGGAGTTGAGACAGAGAAACCAGAGGGAGGGGCGGAGGACGACCTGAGACCTCGGAGCTGAGACCTGCCAGGGACGAGATGATGGCAGCAGATCAGACCCAACACCCCGTTCTCTTTTGGGATGTGCTCGAGCGCCTTTTTTTGTTTCTTAGGAACGAGGTTCGGATAGGCTTGGGACAGGGGGGAGAAATGTGAGAGGAGAGACTTTGGACTCGGTTATGATGAACTAACTGCACCTACCCAGTCCAATGAATGACGTTGTCAGTTCTCAATACACCGGGCACCGTGCTGTGCCTGGCTGGGTGTCTGGATTTTTGGGGGGTGGGTTGCTCAAGGTTTTGGTGAGGAACGTGCTGAAAAAGGCGTGGCTCCGTTGCGGGACGGTCCTCGTTTGGAGGGGTTGGACGTTTAATCCGTTAATGTCGGTGGGGCCGCTACGCGATGATCTTTTTTTCTTTTCCCTTTTCCACCCTTATGTCGTTGTCGGTCTGGAAGAGGGAGTGTCAGAAGGTTGGACTGCCACAGGAGGACAGTAGACAGGAAGAAAAAAAAAAAAGAGACGGGGAATTCGGCGGTCAGAATGTGTGAGCGCAAGCAGGCTAGAAGAGGCGGCGCAAAGTATTTATTCGGATGACGGAGGGAGGGAAATACGGCGGGAGCGTAAGGGTAGGAGGGTAGGGAAGGAGGGGGGGGACGTGAGTTGGGGGCTAGGCCTTCCATCAATCTCATCTCTTGTTTTTTAGTCTGTCCCCGACAACATGTTGCTCTTGTCCTGCTTTTAGGGCCGTCGCGAGCCAATGCCCGGCATCTCGGGCTCACGACTCTGGCTTGCGTCGTTCACTGGGCCAGTAGCAACTCGGGAGGGGGACGTACCTGACCTACCTCCCTTGCTTACCATTTCCCACCTTATCTGGCGGGGGCGTATACATCCTACAGGTAATTGTACGTGGACGGCCATCGACTAAAACAGGCAGCCGTCAGCTCTACCTTGGCCCCCCTCCACCTCAAATTCACTCACCGTATCTTGGACCGCAGCCGCCATGAGACGACACCATGGAGCGCAACAAGCCCCTCTCGGTTCTGCCATGAGCTGAGCTTTGCCGTCGCTGAGCCCTGCAACGAGGTACCGTACCCAGGTGCGCACTCTCCATGATGCCGTACCGCTCCGCGTCTCCACTCCCGGGTATGTCGTGTCCTTCCCCAGGTCGTCTTCACCCTGCCTAGCCTGGCCTCCTATGCAGTTAATTCGGCACAGCCTGCTTCACGCCAGGCTGGACGAACAAATATCATTTCAGAGCAGTGGCACTAACATGGAATTGCGATACATGTATCCGCATTCAGTCTTCTTCTTCTTCTTCTTCTCCCTTCATGTGGGTTGTCCCGCTGCGTATGCGCGGCACTGGCAATCGTGCAGTTTCTTAATGACTCGAAAAAAGGATTCAAGGTATTTGGAGTGACACGGCATGATCCCAAAAGCGGATAGGATGGGAGAAGGGGCAATCGGACGGTAGACCTCAGAAGAGTTGCTGGTCTGGTATGTGTATTTGTGGGCGTCCCTCGAGGCTCGGCTTCTTCTTTCTTGGTCGTTCGTGGTGCCAGGTGACTTGAAGAAAACACAAAAGATGACAGGGGCGGTCAAAGATGGTACCGGCGTAAAATTGCTTCTTTTTGCCTCCAGCTTACTTACACGGCACTGCCCGGATATATACGTGACACCTCGATCTTGTCGGCGCCATCTGATTGGCATCCGTGTGTTCTGTCAGTCGTCCCTTACGACGATGCTCGAGCCCGATGAAGCCTTCGTAGCGCCCGACGGGTCACTCGAGAGCCTGGCGCATCCTGATGTGCATGGCCAGGCCGTCAAATGATGGTGCCTGAGCTTGATGAGATGCATCCGTGGCTTGACCCTTACTGACTCACTGCCAACGCATCCGGTGGGCCGCGTTAGCCCGTCGGGCTCCCCAGCGGCACACCTGGAACATTGGATGGCATGCGGCCCTACGGCATAGCACATCCTATTGCTGCTACCATTGGGCACGACTGCGGGCGCGGCCGCGACGGGAACGATGGAACTCGAATGAGTAAAAAGTTCGTCTCCATTATCAGGGACTCTGCCCCTGTGTGAAACATGTCTATCATGACTTCTACAAAAACTGAGGACGTAGCATAGCTGCCATTCCAGCCCAATTATGAGACGGCCTCTTCATTCGACCAGAGTCCACGGCCAAATTGCGCCTGAACATAAAACCAAAATGAATGTTACCTACCGTTTGGCTCTCGGGTGCTTGGACAACTTGTCCGCAGTTGGCCAGCAGAGTGGCCAAGGAAACTTGGGTATGGCTAGTGGCACAGGGGTGATGTGATGTGTTGCAGACAAATCTTTGCTGTTTGACGATGCTTGACTTGAGTGTTCCGATTGCCTGCTACCCCTGGTAAACGGCGATCCACTCGGCAATGCCTCGCATGAAGCGTGATGGTATGGTGGCTTTTCAACGTGACTTCTTGATCACAAGACCTGTTAATGCAAGGTTGGCTGCTCGCCGTGTCTGGGTATTCCATTGCTCATCTCACGAGCTCGGCCGACTCCTTTGACAGCAAATCTTGTGCCGCTACCACTTCCGACTCGTCGTAGCCCTGCCAGAGCTTCTCCTGTGCTCCGTTACGGCGTACAATATCTGCCAACTTTTGTGTCGCCAGCTCATTGAGTTTCTGTAAAGTTGTGACGCCGGGAAGGCGCCACTCCTCTGAATCTGTTTGCCTCGATGGCTTTGAAGGCTCCTTGATCAGTTTGTTCGTGACCTTGCTAGCTGTCAGCCATGATTTTACGATGTTGACTAGACACACGACTCACCAGTTTCAGTCCGTAGTAACCCCTAAGATAGTCGTCGCATAGCTCGATGCTTCGGCTGAATCTCTTTACCGACTCAACTAGTTGCTGTTCCGAAGACCCTTCAGAGGATGAAGCTGCCATGTACAGAACTTCGCCCAGGCGGGCGTGCATCTAGTATGTATCAGCAATTGCTCGAGTCGAGGAAGGATTTCGGAGAACGCTTACGTTCCATGCGTTTGGGGTCAGTACGAGGACTTCCTCGAGTGCAAAGATGGCCTGCGAGTAGAGACCTTGCGAAAGGTACAAGTCGGCAAGCTCCGCCCACGACTCTGCATCCGTGGGATTGAAGTCGACCAGAGAGTTGAGGGCCGCAATGGCGTCGGGTATCTTGCCAGTTGACTTGAGAAGGGCAACGCGGCGTTTCGCGACGGGCTACATAGGGTCAGCGTGTGTGACAGGCTCGTAGAAGATGTTCAAAGACAAACAATATTCGTCGCATTGGCTCCGAGGATAGTCTCGTACTCCATGAGCACCTGCGCCAGCTCCCCATCGTTGTCGGCTTCCGCCTCCTTCACCAAGCCCTTGAATGCCATAATGCGCTCGTTTTCGTCTCCGAAGCGGAGTGTTAGCCTCTCGAGGCATTGGTGTGCTGATGGGCTGTCGCCGGTCCGGAGGCAGGCAAGGAGAAGGTTCTCGTAGATTGTCCACAATTCGGGGGTCTCAGACGCTGAGAACAAGGATAGCAGCGGCGACGATGAGAACGCCTTCGGATTGTTTTGCAGAATCGCCGGTGCTTTCTGGGCCAGCTCGAGGGCCTCGGCCGGGGACAGGTGGCCCTGGGGACGAACAAGAGATGGAGCCATTGTCACAACTCGGAAGAGGGAGGCGGGCTTCGATGGCAATGAATAGCGAGCAGCGTGTACAAGGTCCGGGTTTATTCGGCGCGCAGTCTCGATTTGTACGATCGGGCCCTTCGTGATAATCGTTGCGCGAGTGAACAGCCGTTGATGGCTGGTTATATCTATGTGGACGTAGGTAGTCTGCGCCTCACGGACTACCTAGGTACAATCTTCTAGGCTCGGAAGTACGTACCGCTCCTTGCTCACCCACCTGGCGCGCCAGTCAACGGGGTAGTTAACCTACTCTTGATTGGCTGGATCGGCAGGCGGCTCTTCATGTCACCGAAGACGCGCCCCACCAGCGTGGGGTTTTTTTTTTCGTGAACAAAAACTTGCGCAGGCAAGAAAACTTACGACTTCTCATTCTCAACCACTCCCTCTTTACCAACAAGATCGGAGATCCTGAGGGCCTGTGTGCTACTCACGTAGAAGCAGTGTGTCAGATCCACGATCTGTCTGGTAGCTTTGCACAAAAACCATGGCATCCCTCGCAGTTGGAAAAGCGCTCCCGGGTGCGGATGAGCAAGTTCTCATCGAGAAAACGGCCGACCTTCAGGTGTCTGCGCCGACCGGCCAGGAGGAGAAGCTGCCTCACAGATCTCACGACCCTCAGTACAACCAAAAGAGGAGCGACCCGTTCCAGTTTGGCAGCCGCCTACTCGGCGAACAGGATGATGTCTTCGAGTTCAACGCTTGGGACCATGTCGAGACTGACGATGCATACAAAGAGTATGCTGAGCAGCAGTACGAAATGCAGCGGCAGTCTCCGGTCTCTGACTTTGACAAAAGTAAGTTTCTATTCCCTCGCAATATCTGCCTATGTCCCACCCCCGGTGTTATGATGATACTCCAGCACAATGCATAGTTCATCTGAATCCTATGATGAAAACTTCTTCTTATAGTCTTTCGCTCCCATCTGACAACACCATTTAAACCCTACTGTTGTGTTCAGCATATTTTCTGCGCATAGTTGACTAACAAAAGTCATCAGACAGGTTCAACAATAACCCGGCTAGAATGTGGGATCTGTTTTACAAGAACAACACGGCCAACTTTTTCAAGAACCGCAAGTGGCTGCAGCAGGAATTCCCTATCTTGTCCGAGGTGACCAGGGAGGATGCTGGCAGTGTCACGATCCTTGAGATCGGCGCTGGTGCGGGTAACACCGCTTTTCCCATTCTTGCTTCCAACAAGAACCCAAGCCTTAAGGTTCATGCCTGTGATTATTCGAAGCAGGCCGTAGAGGTCATGCGAACCCATGAATCCTACAATCAAGACCACATGCAGGCGGACGTCTGGGACGTGACGAGCGATGAGCTCCCGCCTGGTCTTGAGGAGGGTTCTGTCGACGTTGCTATTCTCATCTTCATCTTTTCAGCCTTGGCCCCCAGCCAGTGGAACAAGGCGGTTTCCAATGTCTACCGTCTACTTAAGCCAGGCGGCCAGGTTTGCTTCCGAGACTATGGAAGAGGTGATCTCGCCCAGGTTCGGTTCAAGAAAGGTCGTTACCTCGACGAGAATTTCTACGTGCGCGGCGACGGTACCCGTGTTTACTTCTTCGAAATGGATGAGCTAGAGCAAATCTGGACCGGCAAGTCGCAAGAAACGTCAGAAGGCACCAAGGCAGAGTTCATTGTCGATGACCTTGGCGTCGACAGGCGCATGCTCGTAAACCGAGCCCGCAAGCTGAAGATGTATCGATGCTGGATGCAGGGTCGATTCACGAAGAAATGAGAGACGGAAGTTTCACAGCATATCCATCCTGGGGCCAGTGGTTGATGTCTGCCAGTGGATTGTTCTGGTGGTGGACCGGCGCATTTCGCAGCCTGTGCCATTGTCATCAAGATCAGTACAGCAGAAGCTCTCTGAGCCTTTGGCGATCATCCTGGCCGAATCCGATCTTGTCCAAGTACCCCGCGATCCCTCCATAGACGCTGTCAATATGGCCAGCGGTTCGCACGATCATGTCAGGCGCTGTTTCAAACCAGTCGTCCGTCAGGCCGATCTCTCTAATTTCGGCTAGCCGGTCTTCCCTCTCGGATTCAAGTGCACCGCTGGTCAGCATGTAGTCATACTCGATGGCTTCAATTGGCACGTCGAGAGTCATCAACACCAGAGAAACGATTAGCCCTGTCCTGTCCTTGCCCTGCGTGCAATGAACCAGAGCAGGTGTCGTTGACGGATCAAGGAAGACCTTGAGAGCCTAATTTGCTTGTTAGCAATTGGCACAGATCATCGCCACCACTCACACTTGTTGTTACCTTGGCAATTTCTTCACCAGATTGATCCAGGGTATCGAGGCCTAGACGTACCAGGCCACGTGGCACCATCACCTCTCTAGACAGGACGGAGATGCCTTCATTGCGATAGCCCAAGAGGAATAGGACGATGAGGTGGCTACAATTGGCGGAGTATGCGTCAGCCTTTGGAGGAGGAATAAAAGCCGAGTTCTCTTACCAAAAACTCCACCAAGACAGCTGCTTCAGCAAGAACCGCTCGAAGTCCCCGCCCGTAATCCTGATCTCGTGATACGTTAGGCCTGGGATCTGGACTGGCTCGGCTAGCGCAGCGTTGGACTGCAGCAAGGCAGGGACTTGAAGGTCGGCCTCGCGTTTTTTCGCCTGCTTGACGTGTTCGGTCCTGAGGGTGGCGTCAGCTGTTGATCTGACATATGGGTTCTGACATTCCAGTGCTGGGGGAAATCTTGTGATTGCACATGCACCTACTTTGTGCGCAAGTCAATGACCGCCTTAATGCCCAGGTCCTCTCGGAGGCGCTTCCTATCTTCTAGGGAGGCATCATCTACAGTTGTCAAGTCTGAGCAGAGGGACAAGCACGCGCTGCAAGACCTCAAAACATACCTGGTCTTGCTGATCGGAACAGCTGGCCTTCTCGGACAAGCCTATTGGATACACACACAAGGGAATCAGCTTGAGTGACTCAATGTGTTGTGCGGTTTGAGACAGAGACGTACCTGCGCCCAAGAAACTTATTCACGGTGGAGCCGACGTCACGGAAGTTCAGAACTGAGGTTATGCTGTTGTTGTCCATGGCCAACAAAGAAACTTTTGCACTAGAGTCACTTGGGGGGACAGGCGGCAGTGCAGAAACCCAAGAGTCAGTGGTCAATAGGCATATGTGCAGAGACTAGGAGTGAGATGTGTGAGTGAAAAGGAGGGGCGACGCCATGATTTGGCATGCTCAGAGAGAAGGATGTGAGGGCCTTCTCTTCAGGCTACCGTCAGGTCTAGCGTCGGTTGCCCTCGTCCAGCTTCATTTGGCTGTCTCCATCCCGTGTCGTTGTCAGGTTGGTGGGCTGGGGTCCTTGGCCAGAGTTCGGGTAACCCCTGCACGTCCCAAAAAGCTTAAGAACCGGGGTGAGGACTTTTGATGTCACCCACGGATGGTATCTGCGGCTGCAGTGGTCTGGGTTTGTACAAGCTGAGCTCAGCCAGCAAGCCCCCTCCAATCGATAACATGACCATAGCTTCAACAAAGCACTACTACGACCCACGGACTGAGCGTGTTCCAGACTATCGGATCAACCGAACGCACCTGTGCAGTCGACAGCCTGGCTTATCATCTCAGGCTGGGTTATATTTGGCAGCGCTCTGGAAGCCGTGCTTGTAGCTGCCGATCGGAGCCACCTACCATCCGAGGTGCGACTGGCTGTGCACCATTCTATCCGTCGAATGATGAGCCTTCAGCACTGCAGCAAGACAACCAAAGTCAGACCTGTCTCTCAGTGTATGAGTGATCTTGATTTTCGGATATGGTGTCACTGACCCTCATTGCCATCGACCGTTGCCATCATGACGGCGTCTCGGGCTTCGCGATTGGTGACGATGTAGATCCGAACTACTCAACTGACACGTACTGAGGCCCGTTATCAGGCTAGGGCTAGCTCGAGTCCTCCCAACTTCGGGCATTATTATCCATTGCCCAAGACGGTGTCCAGAACGCGGTCTGCCACTCAGCGTCCGGATTGTCCGTGTCCAGAAACGGGAGGGTGTTGGTCCGAAGCCACAAAGGAGCGGACGATAAATGGACTATGCCGAATAAACCCAGCTTTCAAGACGTCGTTTGCAATACAAACAAAAACAAAAAGAAAAAGAAAAGGAAAAGGAAACAACCCTCAGCAGAGGGAGTCCGCGGCTGGGATGAGATGCGATGGTGGATGTCGACAGGGGCGGAAAGCTAGCTCGCCAGCACTAGGCCACAAACGGATGGAAAGGAACCCCGCATGACGTATGGCGCGGTGTCGTTACTGCTCACTACGACTAGCCACCAGCACTAAGCTGCGCAAGCCGTGTCACCGTCACTGACCGGCGGCTCACCAGCCGAAGCATACCTCATCGTGCGCTCGCACTGCCCACCCTTCACCACTCAAATATGTTTGTGGTTTGATCATATAACTCCGACTCCCTCGTTTGGGGGACGGGACGTCGCCTGCGCCTCTATGTCATGCCCTATTCTTCCTGCACTGCACTGTCCAGGTTCTTTGACTGTCTAACTCCTCAATCCTCTGACGATATTCCCCAGTACATCTCTTGACCCTCTTGGTACGAGTTTGTCGCTCCTGCGATACGGACCAGGGCGACGCCAGAAATAACATTGCGTGGGGGCTCTTGGTAATCCACCCGCCCACGCGTCCACCTCTCTCGCCCCGTGTAAGCTGTACATCGCTGCGGCTTCCCACATTTCACCCCCGTTTCCCTGTACATTGTATACTAAACTAAATACAATTTACCCTCGTCACTCGCCGTAGAATAGGAGCCTATTTACAGGGGGTGAGTGGGAAATCAAGTGTACCAGTACCACCAAGCCGGCACCGGGCGGGCTGATGATGCAATCCAGTTCCAAAACAGCGAAGCAGCCGCAGCAGCCAACCATGGCGGAAGCACGGCATCAGGTGCCGACAACAGGTACCCAAACATACCTTGCCCGTGAATACGAGCCTTGGTGCCGGATCAAATAAAGTCTCCTTTGCTAATCATATTCCTTTTTTCCTTGTATATAGCAGACCGCTCGGGCAGATTAAAGTACGCCAACCCGCGGGATCTCCCCAGCTTCCCATCCCCCGGTCTTCCACCAGACGGAGCCGCCGCCGGAGCTGCCGCGTCCCTAGGCTGGGCGAGCCAAAAATCAATTGAAGTCTGGAAACCCGAAAAGTCGACCTCTGCCTCTGCGGCTGCCATGCTCGCAAAGGATTACAAGATGGCGCCCACCTGGGAACCCAGCTCGAGTTCCGCCGGCGCAAAGGCTGCGCTACTGGCATCAGCATCAGCAAGGAAACAGGCAGCGACCAACATGACACCACCTCAATCCCCTCACGAATCCTGGGGAAGCAGCGCTGCTAACCAGGCTTTCAAACAAAGTCGCTCTGTTGGACAACCTGCCCACATCACCTCGACCTCGACTAACGGCCTTGGCTCTCTTTCAGCGGCCCAAAGTGCCATGCCGGGGACAAAAAGAACAAGACCACGGGCCAAGTCGACCCCCGACCCCAAGGAGTCTTATCCTGGAGAGTCTCAAGCAGCTGCGAACGCCTTGAGTGCCGCCACGGCAGCCCATGGCCCTTCGATGAAGCCGAAGTCCCCCACCGGCGCTACCGGCTCTGTTCCTTACACGAACCTGCCCCGCAAGATGTTCACCTCTTCTCCCACTATAGGCCCAGAAGCCGACGAGCAAAAGAGAGCCGACGTGCTGCATGCCTCCGCCGTAGCCATGGCTAAGAAAATGTACAGCCACCAGCAAAAGATGGTCGACCAAGCCCGTCAAGCCCAGCAGGACTCGGAGGAGGCCATCCCAAATGACAATCAGCCAAAGCCCTTTGTCAACCTTCAGGAGGCAGCGTATAAGCTGGCCCAAGAGCGTCTGTCGAAACTGCACGTCGAACATCAACGCAACCGAGAATACCAGGAATACTACGGCAACCGCACAACAGCTCAGCCTCATCGCAGATTTACTATGAAGGACAAATTGAGACGCCGTGCTTCTAGCGATGGAGATATCAACGACGATAGAGAGCAGTCTGAGCGCATCCGAAGAGAAATGTCTATTTTCTCCTCCAACTTGACAAAGATCGACGAGCAAAAGCGGGCGAAAGATCGCGAGGCGCTACTGGCTGCTGCACAAAGGAATGTCAGAGCCCGTCTCCAAGGCATGGACGACAAGATATCGGCCGAAACGGGCATGGTGTTGCCGAGTTCCAATAATGACTGGGAGTCCAAGGCACAGATGGCTGCGCTGGCCCGACACGAGTCAACCAATGCAAACAAGGGAAAGGTTGACATAGGCGGTGGCATGTTTATGGACCCTGCGGCTGTTGAGGAGATTGCGACTAGGAGGGTGCAGCCGGTGCTTGATGAGATCAATGAGAAAGCCGCCATTGAGCGAGAGCGTCAAGAGCTCCTCAAAGCGGAGGCAGAGGCGAAGAAGAGGGACGAGGCGAAGCAAAAAGAGCGCGACAGAGAGATCAAAGAGATTAACCGCAAGATCATCGGTAAGTAAACGATCATTGACATACGCCTTCCAGACTAACACATACGCAGAGCACGAAAAGCAAGAAGAGAAGGAGAGGAAGCACCGAGAGAAGCAAGAGCTCAAGGCTAAGAAGGAAGAGGTGAAGGCTGCAAGAGCTGAAGAGAAGCGCAAGTCGAAGGGCCCGGAGATCCCGCCGGGCGACTCGGCCATCGCATGCGACTCCAGTGAACCCTCGCCAACGAGCGATGACCACGATGTCTCGGTTTCCCGCCGCGCAAACCAGAACAAGCCTACTGTCAACACTCAGAGGGAAGCCTCCAACAGCGACAACCCCCGGTCGCCAAGCGAGAGCGGGTCGCCGACGAACAAGATGAAGGAGTGGCTCAAGTCACGCTTCTCGCGGCCACGGGGTCGCTCTTCAGCGAGCGAGAACGCCGATGAGCGCGGGTTCGTTGGCGGCGTGGCACTCACGCGAATGGCCAATGAGAGCGCGACAAGTCTTGACGCGAGGTCGGCCAGCATGAGAGAGGTTGCGATCGCCGGCAAACCGGAAGCCGATGCGCTAAGGTCACCGACGGACGGTGGGAGCAGAACCCGGGGATCGCGTGATGTGAGTCCTGTCAGCTCAGACAGCGGATCGGAGCGGTTCGTCGAGGCAAGGGATGACATCAAGGGGCCCGTTTCGCCGCCAATACCTATCCGGGACGCAGGCCTACACAAGAGTGTCAGCCCGACACGGGATTCGCGGTTTCGTGAGATAATCGAATAGGTACTGAGATCATGGGTTCATGGGTTTAATGGGCCGGCGTACAGGGGGTCCTGCTTTGGTATTTACGTTTGGAGAGAAGCACATTTCGGGGTTTCTAGCGCGCGGTATCGGTGGGATTGGCGAGAAGCGGCACGAGTTTTGGTTCATGTGTCGCAAAATTCACCTCGACAGGTCTGCATCTTTTTTCCTTTCTTTATTTTGGGGGGGGGGGTGGGGGGGGTTGTTCAGTAGCATCTTCTATTTGGCGACAAGCGATGATTATAACACTGAATAAAATACGAGTTCTTGCAGTGCCTGTGCCATACGCTACCGCCACTCCGTGGCTGTTTTATGCTGCTGGCCCACTGGCTTTTCTTCTGCCATGTGCAGGGGAAGATGTGTATGTGACGAGGTGAGGATATGGGAGGACAACGATGCAAGGGGAGGGTTCAAGATGTGTATTATATTTTCTATATAGTTTGTGTTGCATAGCAAAGATCGAAAGAGAGGCCCAAAAGTCGCGGCAAAAAGGGAATCTCAATGCGCCAAAACACCGGCTCCTCATAGCGTCCCCGTGGTATGCTGGTGCGATTCGCACCCCCAATTCCATTAATCATGATTTTGGTGTAGCTTTGTACACATCTCCGTTGATTCCTGCCCCCCTTGGCCATTCACAATATGATTCTTCGCTCTTATAAACAGCATCGCAGCCGGCACATCTAAAATCGCGGCTGGCCAGGCTGGCCAGCGTTCCACTCGCGCATGCTCCCCGGCTTCTGGAACCGGTTCGCCTTGTTCCTCGTCCTGACCGCGGGCAATAGGTCGACGGTGAAGGAGAAGATGTAAAACGAGAAGATGAAGGCGACGACCCACTCGAGGACGGCGGCGGTGTTGTAAGCCTTCCTGAAATTGCTGACGATGAAGGCGACGGCTAGCGCGACCTCGACGATGATGAAGACGAGCTTAATCCAAAATGAGATGGCGAGGCTGCGGTGCTCGGGGTACTTAATGCCGAGGCGCTGGTACTCCCAGCAAATGAAGATGGCGGACAGCAGATAGCCGGCCATGAACAACAGCAGGAACAGGAGGTGTAGGTTCTTGTGGCGGTATGTGTCGAAGATGCTGAGGCAAACGAGGCCGACGGTTCCGACGAGTGCAAAGAAGATGGTGAAGCCGTACAAGACCTTCTCGCCAGTCGATGTGTTGGGCACGAGGCGGCCGCGGTGGCGGAGCCAGCGGTCGGAGAAGAAGGAGAGGTCGAGAAGAATGGCAGTGATGACGCAGCCCGTAATGAAAAGGGGCTTGAGGTAGTAGGCGCCGACGTCGCTGATGTAGGCGATGGTTTGCGGAGGGGTCATGGACGGGTAGACGACGCGGTTCGTGTTGATGATCCAGTAGAGGAGCATGCCGAGGAGCATGCCAAGCCAGACGAGGCCTGATATAATGGGGAAGATCTGGGCAGTGTGGTTAGTTGGGCGGACGAGTGGGAGGGTGGTCCAGAAGACGGAACGTACCCAGTATGATAACATCCTCATTTTGGCGCAATGTGATATGGGAATGCCGTATTCTACTCGAGGTGTAAGTCTAGGTCGCCAAGACGTCCACGATGCAAAAAGTTCAAGTAACAGGTCGTTAGGGCGGGTTATTCTCAACCCACCGTAACACCAGGGAGTGGGGGATAGAGAAAGAGAGAGAGAGAGAGTGTGTGTGTGTGAAGTGGTGACGAAATATGACGATCAATGAAAAGCGGATTGGGTCAGTACACTAGTCGTCACTTACCAAAAATAACGGGCGTTATTGTCTGTTGAATTTTATCGAACGGGAATGACGAGACTTCAGTAAAGCAACCCTCAGAAGAGAAAGTGTGGCACAGGCCGCTTCTAGGTGAGGAGAAAAATGTGGTTGAAATGATTCACGCAGAGTCCACCGACTTGGAGAGGTGCTGGGGGGTTAATGAAGGGGCGCCCTGTGCAGGCGAGAGATGCCTGCGTACGTCAAAGATCGGGCGGTGTCTGATCATCAGTCGTGAAAACGAGAGAAGCGGCAGGAGAGAGCGCGTGGCCCGGGTCGCAGTCGCGGACTTAAGAGACATCGGCGCCCCGTCCCCGTTGCGCCTTGGTTGCTTATGGCTGATTGTGGCCCGCTTGGCCCGGGCTGTGTTCGGGCACATTCGCTCTTCTATGCGTCTTGCACTACACTACCTACTACCGCGTGTTGTTTGTCCCACTTTGTGTCTGAAGTCATGGAATCGATCGACACTTGGGAGAGGTCCTGGTTGCTGGTTCGGACCATCGCCCCTAGTCAACGGCGCGTTGTGGGGGTACCATGTCATCGGTCTTGGAGGAACCGCCGGGATGATGACGTAGGCGGAAGAGTGTTGACGCCCCGAGGGCATCTTTTCGCAACTTCGCAAGCTCGAATTCGCCGTAAACAACCTGGCTTGAGACCCTAAAACTGGCGCCCAGAGCAGGAAATTTCGGGGCTCCTAGGTTTCCAGTCTATCTTACGATTTTAGTCTAGATTAGGAAATATCAAGTGTATGGTTCGGGCTATCAGGGAGGAACGTCAGCAAGATCTCGACCAACCTCCCCCCCTCCTACTGTTTTTTTTCCCTTCCCCCTTAGGTGCTCTACCTCAACCCAGGTCGGAAAAGAAAGAAACGCGGCCGGGAGGCGAGCGGGAAGGATTAAGCCTTGAACTCATTGTGCATGCCACCCAAGGGGCAGCGTCGCACCCTCGGACAGACGGGGAACAACCATGCTTGATTTGGACCAAGACCATGGTCACCATCCACGTGTATCACCCGCACCGCCGACTCTAAAAGGTGTGCTTCATCAGGTTTGGCAGCAGTTCCTTCTAGTACGTACTTTTGGGGTTAGCTCCATCGCAGCCCAACCCGCGCCATTGCCAGCGCCATTGCCCGCGCCAGTATGCCCACGTCAGTAAGTGACCACTGAGTGCCGCGTAACCGAACTGGAAGGCGCAGGGCCTTTGGGTTCGTATGCGCCTCGCTGGTGAGCATTTGCCAACATGAGTGTATGCGAAAGGTCGGCGAGACGGGAGGGTGATGTGTTGTGGTGGTGCTGTGTCACAGTAAGCAGACAGAACCGGGACATGTTCCGTCGCTGCGGTCGCAGAAAAGACATTTGGGAGATGGCTTCCTGGTCGGACCCTGCTCTGTGCCAAAAAATCGGAATTCTGAAGTCATTGAGTTGGGTGCATCCTGCAGTAATCATACGTTGATGGAATCGACTCAAGATCCCAGAATCGGACAGGCCCCTTCCTGATTGTGGCTTAACACAGCCTGTGGCGCTTGCAACCAATCAGCTACCGTAGTTTTTACAAGGCTGCCTTCATCTCGCCGCCTTGTCCCTCCACCAACCTCGAACTCTCTCCATCGTGATCACATCTGGCTCGACCAACCCACGATGTCGGCATCACCCCTCGTCGTGCGCGCGACCGATGCGCTCAAATCTTCGGGTCTCACGGGCTCTCCCTTCCGCAATATCTCCTCCGCTCAGGCATCTTCGGGCAATGGCACACCACAGCCCCCAAAGGACAAGACGGCGGCGCCTGTGTCGGCCACGGCCCCGACCCTGGACCTCGCCGAGCAGATGAACGAAGAGGAGAAGAAGAAATACGTCAAGGGTAAGTGCTCATTACAGTTCTGGAGCCCGCGCGAAAAGATGAGAATCTCTGACCGAACCACCTCACAGGCAAGAAACTCGGAGAGGGTACCTACGCCATCGTCTTCCTCGGCCACCTGCGCTCAAACACGTCGTCCCTCGTCGCCATTAAGAAGATCAAGGTCCAGAAGGAATACCAAGAGGGCATGGCACCGGACGCCGTACGCGAGCTCAAGCACCTCCAGGAGCTGCAGCATCCCAACATCATCTCCCTGCTCTCCGTCTTCTCGTCAAAGGATCAGAACCTTAACCTGGTCCTCGAGTACCTGCCCCTCGGCGACCTCGAGATGCTCATCAAGGACACGGCCAACGTCCGCTACGGCGCCGCCGACATCAAGGCATGGATGGGAATGCTCACCCGCGCCGTCTGGTTCTGCCACGAGAACTTTGTTTTGCATCGCGACATCAAGCCCAACAACTTGCTCATCGCCGCCGACGGCGAGGTGAAGCTAGCCGATTTCGGTCTCGCCCGGAGCTTTGCCGACCCTTACCAGGTCATGACGAACCAGGTCATCACGAGGTGGTATCGCCCACCCGAGCTTCTCTTCGGCGCCAAGCACTACAGCGGTGCCGTCGACGTCTGGAGCGTCGGGTGCGTCTTTGCCGAGCTCATCATCCGCGCGCCCTACATGCCCTCTGAGACGGAGGTCCAACAGATCTCCCTCATCTGCCGTGCCATCGGCACCCCGACCGAGGACAACTGGCCCGGGGTGACGAAGCTGCCCGCCTACACCGTGCCCGACGACGCCGAGCCCGTCAAGGGCAAGGAGTTTTACCAGGCCATGTTCGGCACGGTCGGCCCCGAGGGTGTTGACCTGCTCATGAAGACGTTCATCCTCGACCCCAGGAAGCGCATCACCGCGCGGGATATGCTGAAGCACAACTGGTGGCGCACCGAGCCCAAGCCCACGCGTAAGGAGGACCTCCCCAAAAAGGGCGGCGGCGAGGACAAGATGGGCGCCGATCTGAAGCGTCGGCCCGGTGTCGTCGACGAGGATAGAGGTTCCAAGGTCGCGCGCAAACTGAACTTTGGTCAATGATGGCCGCCGACTTATTTCCATCACGAATTTGATTACACACAAAAAGCATACAGCATTCGAGGCGTTATGGTACACGGAGGTCAACGGGTAAAAAGGAAGGGGGTATTTTTTTTTTCTTCTGCGTATGTATGTAGGTAGTACTAGCACGGGCTAGTGAACAGGGGGCCTCCATATTTCCCGGGACATCTATTTTGGTACTCCAGATATAAAAAAAGTCAAACGAAAATAAAAAAGACTAGAGAGAACGGTCATCGTGAGATCGTCAGATCTCCAACCCCTAGTCTCCCCTCTCCGCCGTCTCTGGTCCAGTCCGGCGATTACATCAAGGAACACTCCATGCCGTACATGGCCCTTTCGACGTCCTTCCTGACCTGGTACCAATCCGCGCGACGCTGGGCGAACTCATAGGCCTCTTCAGCACGGAAGACGCCCTCGAAGCGGTCGCCGTCGGCGATGATGGTGGCCATCTCCTTGGCGTGGCGCGGGTCGATGAGGTAGATCTGGCTCAGCTCGCGCAAGGCCTTGAAATAGGCCAGCAGGTCCTGGTTCTTGAGGGTGCGGATATACTCGAAGTACAGGTTCATATCGGCGATGAGCTTGATGGCGCCCTGAGTACTGATGCGCTGGCGCTTGAGGTGCTTGCACACGGCCGTGAAGAGGCGCAGGCCGACCTCGCCGTTGAAGACGTCGAGCATGGACTTTTCGGTGCTGCCGACGAGCATGCGCGTGTGCGCCGAGACAAGCTCCATGATGCGCAGCGCCGTCTGCGTTGGGCCCGGATCCGCGAGGATGCCGCCCGTCTCCTCCGGGTTGTAGTCGGTCGGCTGCTGCGTCGTGCCGTGGAGATACTCGACCTCGTCCATGAGCACGTCGATGCCTTTGTTCAGCCCCGCCGCGACGCTCTCGTCGAGCATCTGCTCCCACTTCTTCTTGGCGATGCCCGCGGGGTCGAGAAAGTCGTTCTTGTCGGCGATCTTCGGCCCCGCCAGCTGCTGCTCGTAAAACACGTCAATCATCTGCGAGATGAGGTCGCCCACGTTGACGAGCTCGATAAAGGTCACGAGCGGCGCCACTCCCGACTGGTTGTGGTCGCTGACCTCGCGCGGATTGTAATGCGATAGGTGCTCTACGGCCTTGTCAAAGCCCGGTTTAACGTGCCGGTTGCCGAGGATGCGGAGCATAACCACGAAGATGGTCTCGCACTGCTCCCGAGCCTCCTCGCCGTACTGGCCCCCTAGCTTGATGAAGCCGGACGCCCGGGCCATGCTCGTTTTGGCGGTGTGTGTTAGGCTGAGGGCCACCTCGATGCTGAACAGCGTCTTGATACCCTCCATACGCGACGCCATGAGCGCTGCCTTAGCCGCCAGCTCGTCGGTGGGTGCCTTTTCTGGAAGCGGGCTGAGCCGGCCGCTGCCGTCCACGCCGCCAGGCGCAAGACTGGGCGTGTGTGGTCTGGACGGCTGCGGCGAGATGCCGGGCGTGCCGTTTGACGTCGCGGGTTTCGCTGCTAAAGTCCCAAATGAGGGCAGGACCGTGACTGGCATCATGACCACCTTCTTGAAGGAGCTCAGAAAGTCCTTCTTGTCCGCCTGCCTGTTAAAGTTGCTCATGTAGAACGACTCGACCGAGGCGTCCTGCTCCGAAAGCTTCTTCTCCCACTCCGCCACCTCCGTCTCGGCGCGTTGCGTGAAGAAGTCGAGCTCTTCCTGCAAGTACAGGTCGAGATGCGGTTCAAATACCCTCAGCATCATCTCTTTTGCCTTCTCCTCGACGCTCCCCTTGAAAGCCTCCGGTACTGCCAACGATTGG